GTCTCTGGTTTCTATTGCATACTTTGCTGCACTTCAGGGATGGATCGAAAGATTAATAAAAAATATCGAATAGATATTAGTTGCAAGACTGATCCTAACAAAAATGTATCAATTGTTTTTTATTGAGAAGTAGGAATATTTGGGCAAATTTATTTAAGATTCAAAGGTACTGGACTTATTTTCCTGATTTTAATAATATGTATTCCTATAACTAATAATAAATTAGAACAATTTACAATCGAATAATATATTGTTAAATATTTAAAATTATTTATATACAAATCAATGACTTTGAAATATATTTTTTATAAATTACTTTAACATTTTCTTATATCTCAAGTACATCACTAATGCAGTTTGTGGGCATGTGAGTGCCAGTGGTTCAAGGGGTAGTGACCATAATTAATTGACCATTTACTGCAGCTTCCCTGCAGCCGTTAAGAAGGAGACAATGGCTTCATAAATTCAGCTTTGAGAGACCAATCTCGACCGGCTAAGTGCTCCACGGGTTTGTTGTCCTTTGTCTTTATCACTGTCCTTATCAGAAGGCAGTGCACTGGAAAATGTCCTTGCCCGTCGTCAGTCATAATGAGGGATCCACGACCATTTGGCAGGCAACGCTCCCGAGACCCAAAACAATCCACTTGTTTTGGTCAGCTGAAGCCAGAATGGTCGCTTTAACATGGCCAAGCTTTGCAACCGGAAAATTGGTTCGGAAAATATTGTGTCTTTTGTAGGGGAATTTTCTTTCATGACTTGAAACTTAAAAAACCAGGAGGTGAAACCGTAGGAAGTCGGAAATCATCAACATTATAAATCACACCGGAGTGTGGAGGCGTAAATTTTTTATATAGACTGGGGGAGCATGAGAACCCAAGAAGTTCGTGAGTTTTATGTTCTCGGAATTCCAAATAAGGGAAGAGGAATGCCTACACTTTGGCATACAAATAAATATTATCTTCAAATTAACATATTCGGGTATAATAAACATTTTCTGAATTATTCAAATGTGCGTTATATCAAAAGTACCTACTTTTTATTATTTGTGTTATTTAATTTTAAGTTAAGAATGAATTTTGAGATGTTTTTATTGATTATAATACATAGTTGTTTTAATTTTACTTATTCTTGAACTCAATATTTAACCTTAAATGCTTTACAAAACAAATAAAACACAAATTAAGTGGTTTATACTACATTAAAAATCATTTAGAAATTGGATCAGCAAATTCTTTTAATTAATTCGATTCGTTGTCATGTTATTTTCATTTGGTCTGAAAGTACTTCTATTTATACCAAACAAACTTAAGCCGTGATTGAAACTTTTGAAAAATTCGTGAGAGTAATCTGTAACGTAAGCCGCAAGTAATCTGAATGAAAAATAAACTCTTACAAATTGAGAACTTGACCTTTCCTTGGCAGCTCTTCCAGAGCGATTAAGTTGGTTGCCCGGGTTGCCAGGCTACAGCTCCTCAGCTGCTGGCCTTCAACAGGATTATCTCCTGGCTCGTCTCGATTTCCATTTATCATTATGCAGATTCATGTCTGCAATATGTTCATTTATAAACATATATATCTAGCGAGGCAAAAAGAGCAACAAAAGAGCAGTCGAGAGGGGAAGTACTCTGCCGTAGACTATGCAAATTAATAAGCAACTCAGTTAGCGCTGACTTAAATGCAGGCAAACTGTTGTAAATGGCGTTTTAATCAACGTACCAAGACAACAAACGAAATTAATTAAATGTTCACTTCATGGCCGCTATCCACGCTAAACCAAAACTCTGAGAGCCCGGCCACGCCCACTTATTATCTCGGGCCCAACCCGCCCATCCTGCGAACCTCCGCCGCGCGTAACGTCAATTTTTGCATTTTAATGATATTTGAACCGCGGTGTGTTCAAACCCTCCTGAATTTTGGGGTTGCATTGGTGGATTCGTGAGGGGGTGGCCAACCGGATGGTTTCGCGTTGCCCACATTACGATGATGACGATGGCTATAGCGAAGACCCTGGCCAGTTGTTAGCGATATGATAATGAATCGATAAATACTCTCTCTTTCGGCGAAGCCAACGGAGAAACTTTGGCGTCGAATAGATTATTCTAAATAGGTTATGTTTCGGGGAAATGACAAAGCGAAAAGTTCATTCCGAAACTTTGAAAGAGAATTTTTTGTGCATTTATATTTAAATGAGGAGGGGTTTTTTCATGAATTATTTAGACAAAAATACGTAAAGAAAGCTTTACACCCTATTAACTTGCAAAATAACAAATTCCCTTTTGATGGGGACCTTTAAGACCGACTAACTTTAATTTAGGTCTAAACCAATTACCTATCAATCCCTGGAAAACTACTTTCACTAAAATTAAATAACCCCAAGGACTCAATTATGAATGGGGAATTAATTACGTTGCTGGCCGCTGAGTATTGGGGCTTAGTGTGGAGCCCACAATGCTCTTCGCTCCAATCCAAATCCCCGGGCCCCCAATTGCGGTTGCTGAATCCATGAGGATCCAGCAGAGTGATTTTTTCCTTTTTTGGGATGCCCTCCCGATTCCGTCCGTCGTTCTAATTGAAAAGCAATTAATTTTTTGGCCTGCATTAGGCTGCCTTCCGAGCGACTTGTTTCCCTGCTGGCTTCCCAATGGGCCCTGAATTATTGACAAAAGTTAAGTGAGCAACTGCACGGACCGAAATCATAACCAGACATCGAGCTAAATTGAAAGGCAACATCGAGTGGGGCCCTTCGGCTTGTGGTCTCTGGAGAAATTTGAAAATCCTAGCCGCAAACGTCTGACTGACTGTCAATGGGAGGACCTCCCCCATCCTGGGAGCCCAGATTACAGAGCGCCAGAGATGGGATCCTGAAGCAAACACCAAGTCAAAGGCAATCGAAATGGCCAAAGCAATGGCAACAGCAAAGGCAACAGCTTTTGGCCTTCAGAACGGCAATCGTTTTATGGCCGTGTTCCCCTCAGCTCGTTACTCTGTTACTCTGTTATTCTGGCTGGGGGCCTCCATCGCTCAGATTGGCCGTAAAAATGTCACCTGTGACTTGCGACTGTGAGAAATCAAATAAATTCAAGCAGCTGGCCGCCGCCACCCACCTTTACGCATTTCTTATCAAGCCGTTTTGCTCATAAACACACGCACACATAAAATATATTTACATAGCATTCCCGGCCATGCACCGACTGGCTTTTGCATAATTTATGCAGAACTTAGTAACCAATAAAAATGGCAAGTGGCATAAAAAGGCCCACAAAACATGTACTTGTAACGCAAAGTAAATGTGCTTACGGGAACCACACAAAAAATACCTTCAGAGGAATTTAAAATTGCAGATGTTTTCCTAAAAATATTATTTTAGTGCATAAACTAGCTTAGTATTTCAAAATTGGTTTAGGCAATCAAATATAATTGATACTCGTACATTATTTATTTAACAGATTATTATTTATTAAAAAAGTAGCAAACTAAAAATGGTTTTAAACTACAGAAATACATTTTTTGCACCAACCGATGTGAATGTTTGTCTTTGACTTTTCACTGCAAGTATTTATATATAAGTTTAGTTCAATTTCTTAAATAAATAAAAAGAAAATGGACCTTCAGGCATTCACCTTAATAGCTTGCAAGAGGTGAAAATAAATATTTGCATTCTGACTTTTGGCATCCAACTGTGAAAATTCGCAACTACTTCGTACCTCAAAGATGATTTAAATGCAAATGGAGAAAAGTAGAAGCCAAAGGATGGGCAACCGGGAAAAAGTGAGGCTTCCTAATCGAGTGACGATGTTTCAGCTAGCATTTCTGCAATTTTCGCCTCCATTGCAGATTTTGGCTACCTGAATTTGGCTTAAGTACCACTTCCACTGGCCATCAGCGAGCATTTTCGCGGTCTGATATGCAAATTGAAATGCGTTTTCCTTTTACGCTGCTATGTTTTCCTCTGCTTTCTCTCTCGCTTTTGGCAAGTCTCTTTATTCTGTGTGGGGGGTTAGGACTACATGTTCCCTCAGGCATATGGAATCCCTGACATGTGCACGCATATCACGTATACGCAGTGAGCGTCTCAAACGGCTGATGAATTTGTGATGGAGCGGATTAAGTTGGATAACTTAAAGCGTACTACTTGCGAAGTTGCAAACGAGTTTCATGGGAAATCAAGGTTCCGCCGATAACTGAAGCAAGACAATCAATCATCTTAGGAATAGTTGCCATACACATTTATCACTTGTGCACGCACAATAATGATTAACATTACGTATACGCCGGGTAAACTTGACCAATTCCCACCTGAGCAATACGGTCATTAGTAATCGCCCTCGTTGGGCAAAGCAATCAATGCATTTGTTTATCGAATCAACAATTGATGGACGACGAGTGGATGGATGACTGGCGTCCATGTCAGCGGGGATCAATTAGAATCAATCGAGAGTTGTCCGGACTGTCTTCTGATTGTTCGTTCGCTCGTTCGCTCCTTCCCTTCTCGAGGGCCCATTAAAATTAAAGGGAAATTTGCATTTTTAATTAAGGAACAGTCACGGCCGAGCCATTTGATTTGGCCATAAAAAGCGAACAGAAAACGTGCCACCCCACCCCCACCTCCACTTTCGTTTCCTTTTGTTTTCCAATGCAATTGGGTTTTTCCTTAATGTTATCTCTTTTGCCCCGCATCACTCTTTTCGCTCCTGGTTCCTCTTAGCATTTATGTGTTTTCTCTCTCTTTTTTTATTGTGTATTTTGGTAACTTATTTGTTTTGTCGCAAAACAAAATAAAAGTTGAATGCTTTTTTCGGGACTCCGGCCTGTGCCGAAATAAAACTTTTCTTTGTGGGAGCCGAAGAAAAGGCCGCAAGAAAAGTTGACTGGAATTCAATTTGTTCGGATCGTAATGAATATACTCGGGGATACACTTCGGCCTGCCTCCGCCTCCGACAAACATGTCAAACTTATTAACAAATACATTTTTGCAGTCCGCAGTCCGCAGTCAGACTCACCTCCCACTCCAGCTGCCTTGGCGAATTGATTTAATTTGAAGTTGGTTTGCAGTCAGTTAAACTTGAACTCTCACTCCGCCCGTTAAATGTTATTGTTGGGCCAGAGGCAAAAAAGTTTTTTGGCCCAGCTAACCACGGGAAAAAAGTACAAGCAGGCGTATAAATAAAAACCGAAAACTGGCGACCGCCGACGTGTCAACACTGCGTATGCGGGGTGTATATAAAAACATATACATATATATATATATAGATATACAAATATAGGGAGGAGTTGCTCGAGACACAAAAAACCGAAAACCGCAAGGATGGAGGCACTCGAGCACGTTCCGGCACTTGTTTGGTCTCCTCGCTCTCACTTTCGCTATCAGTTCTTCGCCGCACAATGGAAACACACTTCAGCCTTCCGTCGAAGAAAAGACAGCTTTTCCTCAGTTCGAAAACACCTCTTTTCGAATCTCCCACCGGTTATCTGCCGATTTTCGCGTCCGCCGTCAACGAAGAATCACAGGCAACTGAACGCCACAACTTCGTGAGGCTGAGCAGCTGAACGACCGACCGACCAACAGGTTAGCCGCTGATAAGGGCTCGTGTTCAGCCGAAGAACTCGAGTCGTTTCGCTCGCTGCGTATACGTAATGTGCCGACGACGATGCATATCGCGTATACGCAGCGTTTGGCTCACTCAATTGCAGGGGTGTTGAGTGAATCGAGTGAGTTCCCCTGTCAATTATCTGCGAGCCGGGAAAAGTGAGTGAAAAACAGTTTCGGCCCTTAAATGAGCCGTAAAACGGGGAATTCGGTAACGAGAACTTCATAAATCCATCACGAAAAAACAGTGATGTCATTTTGAAGTTTTTGAACTTTTTCGTAGCCCTCGAAGGTCGTTAAGTTGCGCTGTGTAAAATTTTTAGTTATCCCACGCAGATTTTACTGCTCCCAGAAAGGTAGCTAAGAATTTTGCTTGAATTCTAAACCTGACTTTAAATAAACACTAACCGCACCTAATTTGCAAATTAAATAATAATCATAGACAAGTTAACTTATGTTTTATATAAGAATGGGTAATAGGAGTTGATTAAAATCAGAAAATTGTAAGAAAAAAAGGCGCTCGCTTGATTGCTTTAATGGGTTCTGTCACTTCCGCTGCCAATTAGCTAATCAAGCTTTAATTTTCCCTGCCACACATGGATCATAAATTTATCTCATCCCATCATCGCCATCAGCGTCTGCTTACCTGACTCAACTTCCTCATTTATTTACTGTTTACGTTCGTCACCTCATTCCGTCACTTTTCGCAATTTAATACCCTGCATACGACGAATTTCAACAGTATTAACAATTTCAAATGATATCTGTAGGTAGATTTAAAATCAAATATACTGGAACGGACTTAAAAACTTTTAAGCTGTATGAAAAATCATTCCTGAATTGTTAAAACAAGTCTCCGAAATGCATTTGGGATCTAAACTTTATTTGAGTGAGACTAATGGACAGTAATTTATATCTTTGAGAGAAGACACTCCCCTAGTGGGTATCTCCCAGTCCAAATGCCACTTCATGCGCTCTTATTTGTTTTGTTATCTGTCGCCGGAAAGTTCCACAGGAAATCACAAGCCGTCAAGGGCATTCTGAGAGGGCTACAAGGGATGTGTCAACTGATGCAGCTGCGATTTATTTATTAAAGCCAAGTCGACAAACAGTTTCCACTTCGGGCGAGACTCCTTAAGAACCGCCGAGTCCCGTCGCCTTTCCCTCCGCCTTCGGAATTACGCTTCATATTTTTTTTAAGCACCCCGCCTGACACATTTATGCGCTGGAAAAAAGTGAAGTGAATAGTGGCCGCCTTCGCAGGATGGATTCAACCTGCCGTCTCCGCACCACTTTTTCCTTTTGCCCCTTTAGCCGATTACCATAAACAATGGCAGCTTTCTACCTGAGACGACTCATCCTTATTTTCAGCCTGGGCCTCATCCTCTTAGGGGAAATTTGTGTAACATATTCAAGCGCTGCTATCATGAATTTTTATTTACTTGCCAGGCATCTTCACCCAAACGCACGAGTACAAGTACTCGGATACATGCAGGCCAGACGACGAACTCTCTGTTGACATTGTAAAGTAAATCCGTGTTGCGCATACGCCGCGTACGCCAGGCAAGGTTTGAAGAAAAAGTGACAACGCCTGCCAAATCACAGATTCAGTTTTATTTACTCTTGGCCCCAAGACAGCCTTCCGCATGTTTGCTACTTATAATTTAGTTAAAATCTGATTTTTTGGCCTACATTGCCAAAAGTTTTTAATTTAAAGTGTGTATTTTGATAAATTTATTACTGAGAAAATCATTTTACACTTAAGTTATACAGTTGGATAATTACAAATTATATTTAAAAAATTGTTTTCATCTTAATAAGACTTTATTTTAGAGGCAGCTAATAAAACATGAAAATAATTTTTTGTTTGTTGAGCAATGCCGTCTCCCTAAGAATTTAATATATTTCCGTCGCCCAGCTGCTCAGTTGTCGCTGACCTTTAATGTGGTTCTATATTTATGGGTACATATATCTACATATATACTTGTATGCGTATATTCGTATTTTTCGCATCTGTTCAGTCTATATTTAGCATTTAATTTAAAAGTTTGGAACGTCTTTTTATAAATGGACTTTGATGCCTTGGCATCAAGAAGGGAGCAATCTCACTCCAAAAACGAGTCTTAAATATAAAAACAAGAAAAAATGAACTCACTCATCTAATTAAGATTATTTATTCCCCAGTTTGAATAACCTTGCAGAGGGTATTAAAATGTTAGCCAGAAGTTTGCAACGCAATAAAGGAGACACATCAGACCCCATAAAAAAAAAATTAAAAAATATTTAAAAAACTACATCATTAGATTTTTTTATATTTTTGAGGACATTTAAAAATTTTTATGATACCACCTCTTTCAAAATTTCCAAAAAATGGATTTTCTGAAAATTGACTAAAATTTTCTAATTCTAAGCCAATAACTTTTCTAATTTTAATCAGATTTGGAATTGGCATACATCTAAAAGGTTGTATTTCAATTCTCTAACGAACGGCATTAATAGACTTTTTTCAGGCCAATTTTTAAAATTTTAACAATACAACCTCTTTTTGCTCATAATAAATAAATCTCATTTGGTCTTACTTTATTGGTCAGAAGGTCACTTTCCCAATTGTAAAATTTGTTGGTTCCTTCTTCGATAGACGCCCTAAGCATAAACTCCGTTGTCAGCTCAAGGAAAACAATTTAAAGGAGAGGCGAGCAAGTTAATAACAATATTGGGGACTCGGAAAGCAAACAATAAATAGTTGGGACAGGGAAACCACTGCGATTGTTTCAAGTTCGAGAGGTTCTCGTACGGCACGAACACTACTTGGCACTTATATTGGCAACTTTTCTATTGAAATTATATTTATGGCAGCAGCTGCTGCTCTGGAGTAGTTCGATACGAGACCAAATTATGGACAAGACTACCTGAGCTGTGCACTCGGGATGGGATGGGATACGTGCTTGTGGCGGGGTCTCCATCTTCCCGGCTTATTAGAGCCAACATATTGTGGAGCCATGGTTATGCTTTGCATATAAATGACCCACATGCACACACTTACACACACACACACGCGGGTGGCCTGGCCCACATGCGGCGTTAAAGTTACTGCCTAAATCTATTCATCCTTAACCGGAACGAGTCCCACTTTAGTTCCCTTTTCGGCCTGGTCACTTTAAGATGAAAGGCTCGGCGGCTTTTCTTTTCAAGGCCCATTGACTTCAAGCCGAACATTGGACACTTGCCAAATGAACATATCTTTACTTGGTTAAAAAAATCTTTTACAACCAGATATAACTTACGTTTAAGAAGTCAAAGCTGTTGAATAATATCAGTAAAATGTCAATTTTACTATACCAACTAGAATAACATTAAAATTATATACTGCTAACCAATTGCTTTCCTGCAAGCTATAAGTTTTATACAATTTTTTCCTTTTTATTTCCATATTGTTTTAAATCAAAGGGGATCCTTTGGTTTCGGTTTTTGTGCTGTGTGCATTGGGGAGACAGCAAAAGACACCAGTACTGAATCCCTCAGCTTTATGGGCTGTTCGTTCTTATTTTTTGGCCAGACCCAGCTGCACTTTGTCTTCATAAAAGTCGCTTTGAGGACCAAAGTGAAATTTACATAAATTCGCCTCGCTTTCTGGACAAGTTTTCATCCTTTGCTGTTTTTCTCCCGTTCGGCAATCAATAAACGCACATAAATTTCGCCTCTATCCGTTTGCAGTTCTTCTTCCATTATTTTGGCATCCTTCGTGTCTGCGTTGCTCTTTTTTTTTTTTTTTTTTTTTGGTTTGGTGGGCCAAAAGTTCTTATCGCCGGCTTAGCTGGGCTCCCTTCGGTGACGTTGTCAATTGGAAACACTGGGCGGGGTCATAATTTATTTCCCATAAAATATGAAATGAAACATTTCGGCTCGTAAATTATGAAAAAGAAACACGTTGAGGCATCAAAGTCAATGCTGGTGTACCCACATCGAGGTGGGGAAACAAGAATAATTGGCATGTAGTAAACCAGTTGAAAGGTTTCGACTGTTCGACATTTCTGAATGGTGCTTTCAAAGTCATAAGTGACTACACTTTATGAAAATTAGCTATGATTTAAATCTGAGCAAAGTGCATACACACAAAAAAGGATATTCACATAAAAGGAATTTCGAAGGTTGCTGTTTAAATTAAGCAGAAAATAACAACTTTACATACAAACTATTTCTAATTTTTTGTTATTTTAAAAGCTAAATGGATTCATAAATGAATAACTTACAAATACAAAATTCTTTCCTCCAAGTTAAGCTGGAATTCAAAGAAATACCTTATACATCATTTGCATGAATGCCTTGCTGAGTTGAAGTCAAGCAAGTGCTTTTCATTAGCTCAAAGTACTGCTCAAAAGGCTTGTTTTTTGTTCGTAAAATAATTTTAGCCCTTAAGGTCAGTTTATTGCAATTTTCTTTCTTCATTTTACGAGCAACGTGGAAAGCGGAGGAAAAGTGCTACCGAATGGGAGGATGGTGGTGAATATTGCGGTTAAAGAATGTCTACTTTTCAACATGCCTCGATAATTTTGAGCCGAGATCATAAAATCTTTACGCACAAACTGATGATGGGCAGTTTCGCGGTATTATGTCCGGCCAAAAATACAAACAATAAAGCAGGTCGTTTTCCATTCCCATTCGAGGCACACCGAATGCGGCTTATTGCTTCAAGCCAAGCTTTGATGCCTTCATGTGGGCGAATTGAGATCTGAGTAACTGCCACATGGAGCTGGGACCATCATCAGGTATGTCCGCATTTTAACAATGAGTCTACGATGTTCATTGTCGATATCACGCATACGCAACGTGCACCACTGACGTTGGCGCCACGAGCTCTACTACCCTCGGAAAAGAAGGTCTTCTTTTTTAATGACTGTATTTACTTCGTGAAATAAATCATTTTATAAAAAGAATTCATTTTATTCGATACGAATCGATATTTTAAGGTTCCAAATCATTACTACATATACAAATCTTTTAAAGTACATTTTAATTGACTATTAAATTACAAAAAACAAGTCTCAATACTTTAAAAAAATAATTGAATAATTCTAGCTTGCAATAATCTCACTATAGACAGCAATGGTCATCCCAGAGTCGCTTCCTTTTGGCTAAAGAGCTCTGGGGTCTTGGCAAGTGTCATGTTTGACCAGCAGCAACAATAGCAACGGCCCATAGCACACATGCGGACGCATTGCGCTTTAAAGCCAATGTAATTCGAAGCTGGCTGGAATGTGGTCTACTGGCAAATGGCAAACTGGGAAACTGGCAACGGGGAGCTGGCAAACTGGCTGTGGGCCTCGCCCCTCTTTTGTCCAGCGGAGCAGCAACATCGATGACAATGACGCCAAATGGCAGCAGAGCTGCAGATGTCGCCCGTCCACAGTTGCTGCTCATATTTCCCAGATCCTCGCCAAAGGACATCCCCGTTCGTGTGAGTGTGTGTGTGTTTGTGTGCGAGTGTGTGCTCTGTCAGCGTGTTGTGGCATAATTTATACGCTTATTTGTTAATTTCGCACACACTCTCTAAAAGCAGAGAAGGACGCACGGCCAGATACATTACACAAACTCTTGGCTTAATTAAAAGTTAAGGCAACAAGTTTTAGTCCAGCCTCAGAAAAGTCGCAGAGACACAAAGATACCCTTCTTGGCCAGCTTTAAATATTTAACTTTTAGAGCATTTACATAAGCTTAAAAATAAATTTAAAAAACTAATAGCGCTGAAAATAATATTAAAAAATTGAATATGTATTATTATGTATACAGAAGATTTTGTTTAGATATTTTTAAAGATATCTAAATCAAAACTATAAATTATGATTTTACTTTAAATAGATTTTCATAAAATTTAAAGTAGAATGATCAGTTCAAAATAATCAAGTCTTAAATGAGCTTGAAATTAATTGTACTTGTTTAGCATCGTTTTCCTTATGGTTATTGGCTTTGACAAGTGGAAAACACTTATTATGATACCAGCAATGTTATTATCCTTATTGAATACCCTCGGTGACGGCTCAGCATATGCTGCCAATGAGCTATCCCTTTTCATATAGTGTTATAGTTGGTTCCCCAACCTGCTCCTCGTAGGCTCGGAATATTTCAATTAATCAACTCATTGCGGAACCAGCAGCTTGATGGGCATTTCGATAAGCAGCGGAGCTCAAGTAGGGCACTGCGGAACTGCGGTGGACGGATGGCTAAGCCGAGATGTTGGCGAGAGCAACAGGATAATTACTCGACCATATGCTCGAATGTCCAGCCAGGAGCCGCAGCAACCGGAGCGAAAGCCACCCATCCACCCAAGGACGACTTGGGCGACTTGAGTGCTCTAGCTTTTGCTGCGATGTAATTGTAATTTAGACACCACAAGCTCACACATGAGAACAGTGACGTCGTTGGGAGCTCATCAGAGGGGTTCAAAATTTACTGCACTAATCCAACACAATTAATACAACAAATTCCTATAAAAAAAATTCAATTACCAAAAAAGTTTATTATAAACCCTAACAGTTTTAAAATGGATTACCTCATGAGTTTTAGTTGTTGTTTCGTTGATTCCAAATGATATTTAAAATATGAATAAACCAGTTTTTTGTTTGTGAAAAAGAAGCCTTATTTTGTTGATATTTTTCCTTACCTTGTATATGATTCCCAGCGAACGCCACTGCAAAAATGCTGTACGTGTTTGTGTTTTTGTCTATTGTGCTTGGGTTGTGTAATTTTTTTCGCTGTCATGCGGTTAAACGTGCAAATTACGCGCCATTTTTATTCGTTGTGCCAGCCGTTGGTTGTTTTATTTCATTTTCTCACCTCATTTTTGCTGCGTTTTATCTTAGTGGCCTGGCCACACATACTGGCACACTCACACACTGGCACACACACACACACCAGCAGCATGGCACTTGGAGCCACGTGTGTGTTTAACCTAATTACCGGCGGCTCGTCCTTTTCACTCAGAGGAGAGTGCTCAGGACTCTTGGTCCTAAGTCTAGTTGATGTTGTTGGGTGAATTCGACACACAAATCAATGCAATGCATCTTCAAAACTAGAAAAACTTTTAGCCAGAACAGTAGTTAATTCCCATTAAAAGCTATAAAATATTAGTTTATAATGGAATATTTCTAAATATATATCTACACTAAGCTTACTTAGCATAAAAGAGCATCTAGGATTTGCCTTTCCACGTTAAGTATGTAATTTCTACGGGCCTTTAAAGGAGATGCTAGGCCACAAGGCATCGTATATCCTGGTCTATTGTGTTGCTGTCGAGTCATTATATTCATTTAGAAATTCAATTAGCGCCATAATTGCAGCAAGTGTTTAATGATGATAATGCGTTTACTCCGATAACGCCGGCGTTTGTGATAACGATGGCGTGACTTGTACTATATCCCGGTAACAGCTAATTATGAGACATTCAATTTTCCTTGGCCAAAAACATGATTTACATGTTAAGTGCCCAACTTGCCCAGGGGTTTTTTAAAATGCATTTTACGTTGGCTAAACAGGCTTACCAATACTTCGGTTATATGTATATGAAGTTTAAGCAAATTCTTCCAGATTTATGTATTTTATATAATTATACGCTCGCTTAGCCAAAAAGCGAAACTTTTTGGCCTGCGCTCGTTAAACTTTACCCTCATAAAAAATGTTTTAGAATCATTTATGTAAATTTCGGCTTGGCCCAGGAAAACACTTACTAGACTTCAATCGAATTTGGTAAACGGCTTCGGTTAATTGCGGAATTTCACATAAAAAATTTACATGACAAAGATCGTCCGACAAAATTTCAAATGCAAAGATAAAGCAACAAAAAATTAACTGCAAGTAAAGTGGAACATTTGAATTTGAAATTTAGGGAGCATTTATTTTTTTCAGCTCACTTTAACAGCTTTGTTTTGGCTTTGAAGCCATTTAGCGACCCATTAAAAGTTTTATTGGTTGCCAATACTTTGTGGCCAGAGGTAATTAGATCCGACAAATACTCTTGCTCGATTTGTGCTTCTATTAAACGGCAGCTTGTTTCGTTTGTCAAACAGCTTTTTAAAAGCGGAACTGCCAACAATTTGAGTTTCTGTATAAAAAAAAAACAAATATTTATGTTGTAAAAAACTTGAAACAGTGACAAATTGGTAAAAATATTTCGTTCTTCTAGATTTCCGTGTTTTCTTTTTAGGATAATGCTCCAGATCGGTTATAAACTTGTTTTTACACATTACAAGATTATACATTCGTTTTTACATATGCTTTTGGCGCCATCTGCCAGAAAACATTAGCTTTTTAGCAAGTTTCACAACCATAGAAAACAAATAAATAACATATTCATCAAACAGTACTAAGATAAATTTTTGTAAGTCAGATCCTTTCCGATAATCCTTTCAGATTTATAATTTAGAAATTCACCCAAAAGAATAAAGAATGAACTGGAATAATTTAACTTAAAATGATCTTATTCAGATATCCAATTGTTCACTCGAAAGACAGAAAGAATGACTACGAAGCATTGAATTAAGAACAACCTCAGAATTCGGAGTCATGTAAAACAAAAAATTTATTTCAATGCAATAACTATTAAGTTTTTATTCCGTTCATGAAAATATAACCCCCAATTTATTGTAAAGTATATTATCGTTTTCTTGCCATTATACATTATTTTTGTTTATTTGCGTTTATGTTTTTATATACAAGTTCACAATGAGATTTCTTTGTCATTCCCTTGATCGGATCGTTAGCTCGTTTTCTATATATTTTCATTACATTTGTCTTTGTATATTGGTTAGTGTATAATAAAACTTTAATATTCGTTATTTTATTGCACTCGGTTGTATGTACAGCTCAGGTAAAATTTTAAATTGTCCTTTTAATTGCTCTGTATGAAAGCAAATGTAACATATTACATATTAATTACAAAACAAGAAGGCAACAAAGAAAGTGATTAAGGAACTTAATATCATTTAAGCCTGTAGTACTCATATACTGGATTAATATTAAGGTATATAATTCTCTGTGTAAGTATCTTTTATATATTTCTATGTACACACACTCGTTTGGTGCTCATCAAAACTTTTTACAAATGGTATCTGCTTAAATTATCAACATACTCGATCGTCAACATTAACCGAGTGATGAGTTTATTTTGGGAAGCCTTTTTGGTGTAAAGTTGCCGCAACGATGAATCAACAAAGGATTTTCTTTTACTAGACGATATGTGTTAGAAAATTATTTCAAGTATTGTAAATACTTCAATATTCGCGTATATATGTATATCAGCTACGTGTATATATATCTATATAGGTAACATAATGTATACATGCCTAAGTACTTGGATACGTCTAGTGGTAAATATAGGTTTTCCATAAATTTCCCTTTCTATATTGTATCTTTAGCCTGCGTTTGCTATTTGCTCGATTAACTAACTCAAAGGTTAACCACAAGTTCTTGTTGTTTCGGTTGTCATATATAATTGGGTTTCTCCTTGGGGTTGGTTGGTTTGTTCTAGCGGCCTGTGAAGGGCATCGATCAATGCGGATCCTCAGGAGACGACTTTAAAGCTTAAGATCTGGGTATACATAAGAGTCCTATTGCGTTTCAAATATGCCATACATATAAAAAGCCAGTAACTGAACAACACCTGCAAAGAGTTCACTACAAAACTATTTACAACTTGACGCAATGTCAGGTCCGTCTTAATTTCAATTATTTGTCAACTGATATTTGGTTAGATCCACCAGGTGCTCGTATAGCATATCCTCCTGCGGCGTCAGTCCGATCATAATCCATCCGGATATGGCGGCGATACTCCTGGTGACCGACAAGCTGCTCCAAACGCTCTGCACACTGTTGCTCAGCTGGAAGGGGGATAAATATACTGCATTTTAGAAAGGAATTCTAAATTGAATTTATCCTGGGATTACTAACCATCTCCTGTTGGGTCAGCGTTATGTTGGCGTTGTTGTTGAACAGGTAGAGCTTCTCGTCGATGGAGTCGGAGCAAATTGTCAGGATTATTGTCGCCACGTAGATCATGGTGATGATGAGCCAGCGGAACGAGATCAGTTCGCTGGCATTCGAGAAGCTCCAGCGGCAGATGTCCATGCTGCAAGGAAAAAATAATCATAATTAATAAGTGCAAAAATACTTAACTCAATATTAATTCCTGTAGCTACTATTACCAAATAATGATTATTAAACCTTTAATTTTCTGTTTCTAAATTAGGTATTCCGAATTGTTCTCCGCCAAGTCTTATAAATAGCACCTCTCAATTATTTTGTAACAGAACGAGGCTACTTCCCTCCCTGCCATACAATCAATGAACTTGAGCTGACCTTAGACCTAATTGCTGGTTGCATTACGATATCGTCTGGGGGTCGTATTTCCATCACTGATTAGAAATTGCAAGTGAGTAAGTAAGTAAGCAAGGCAGCAGAAAGGAAAAGGAAAGTGTGAGGTCAGAGTATTGGAAAAGAACCTAAATTGAAATGAATATGTATTGGAATTCCTTCAGTTTTATTGAAGGATGTTCCAAGGTATTTGGTTCCCAAGGAGTCGTTATGTTATTATCTGAATCAATTAACCAATGAAATTGGAAACCAATTAGTTCTTGGGCAAAATTTTATACAAATAAATAATTACAGCTTTTTTTTTACCAATTTTGACTCAAGGTTACTTCTTTCCGCACAATTTCGAAATGTCCTGGCATTTAATCGCTCGCATATTAATTGAAAGCGAGTTGGCCAAGGGGCAAAGGTCAGACTGCACAGACTCCGCTGCCTTGGGATACTTAACATTTAGCACTGCGCCAGTCGCACATAAATCAACTGGCAGTGGGATAACGCTGCTAAATGTCATACACAGTTTCACGCTTTTGCCAGCCGAAAATGGCACAATTCGAATGCCAGACAATTCAGTGCAGTTCCGTTCCACCCAAGCTACTCGAACCCCCCTAGAAGCCGCCTGGAAACCACCCAGTACCACCCACACACTTGTGCCATCGACTGGCGCAGCCTTTAAAGGTCAAGAGTGCAGCCCGAGTGGCTGGCTTGTGTGTGGGCAGCGACTTTGGCATGCAAAAAGAGCAAAGTTTAAGGGCATTAAAATATTTTGCGGCTGATGAAAGCGACCACGCAATGCGAGCCACACAAAATAATTTCTATGCGACCGCGAAGCCGAACAAGTTCCCAGTTCCCAACACCCAGTGTTTCAATTGAGGTCACAGTTCCATTAAGCCGACCGAAAACACACACTTTCTAGCACGCTTTTCAGCGTCTAGACTCTAAGCCAAAAAAAGAACAACAAAAATTGGAAATGAGCTGGCAGGTTTGAGGGTTACCCACATCCGGCTGGCTTTTCAGCTCAATGAAACTCGCACCTGAGGTCAATGAGTTCTGCGGGCGAACTCCTTCCACGGAGGAAGGCTCCTCCCTTGGCTTCCTATTTTTAGCCAAGTGTTGGCGAAGGCTGTGTGTAGGCCAAATTGACTTTTAATCAAGCCAAAGGACATCGAAAGACTCTAAGGACGCAATTAGAGGCGATGGCGACGCCTTCGCTTAACTGACACATTTAACCAAGAAAAACTTCACCAACTAAAAGTGAAATACATTCTTCAAAGTAAACTAAAAGTTTTCCCAATTAAAGCATTAATTTTTAAATACTTTTAGGTAGTAGATGGAATTTGTAACTTACCAAAGTCTAACAAATCAATTTGTTTCAATAACAAATATATATATATAACCTAACCAAACTTCAAAATCAATAAAAAAAAGTTTGACAAAAAATAAACTAAATATACAACACAAATAAGATTCCTTTGGTTATACTTGAACTCTACTACTTTATATAAGCTCAAATAAAATAACCTTAAATCCGGATTGGTTATGCTAAATAACCTTAACCATTATCTTAGAATAAAACTAAAACCTAAAAACTCACCGATCGAATACGGAAACCAGACAGATGATGGCCAAGCAGTAGAAGGTGTTCAAGTAGATCTCCGCGAAGCCAGCGTAGTCACTTATCAGCGCCAGGGCTTCGCTGGCTCCACTTGCGGATGCCGAACCGGATGCGGATGCGGATGCGGATGCAGATGCAGATTCAGCTGAGGATCCGAGCGACTCAGAACCCCGATCGCCGGGAACGAGCTCCATCGGAGGAGGCGTCGATGCGGATGGGGGTGCAACGGTGGAGGACATCGTCTCGCCAGCGAGACTCATGCCATCGATGACCTTGGCCCAGTCCAGGGGGTGGCTGCTCAGCACGAAGAGGAGGTGGGCCAGAGCTAGACCGGCTAGCAGGCCGTGGCAAATGTTCGAGACGAGCAGCCAGATTCGTTGAACTACACAGGCTAGTTGTATGTTGCTGGTGATGCCATTGCTGTCAGGGGGAAAAGGTTTTGTTTTTAGATTAGATTAGATTTCGAAATAATATAGATAATAATATAGATAGATTTCGAAATAGTAGTTGATTTTTTAAGGCTCTAGTGTTCTCAGATTAAGGTTTTGAAAACTAATCAAACTAGTTTCATCAAATCGCATTTACCTAACTAAATACTGTTTAATTATGTATTGACTATATTGAAGTTCTAAAATTTAAGTGAGAACTTTTTTAACCTAAATTCAGGTAAAACTTTTTTTTGCAAGATAATTTATATTATCCTAAAATAAATAAAAAATAATATTAAATCAACTTGAGAAGTGGCAAAAAAATTTTATTTTTAACGGACTCGAATTATTTTAGAGTAAAATCAAAATCGAACGTCAATCAATATTAATTTCTCCAACTCACCGATTAAAATCGGCGTCGAGCAGACAGTGGGTATCGCCGTAGCTGCCACGCCCACTTCCCGAGCCGCCACCATTGCCACCCATTCCGGCGACTCTGTGGGCGTGGCTGCCGCTAGAGCGGAAGAGGCGACCGGCGCCCCCCAACTCCGCGGCAGAGATGCCATCGAGGCGTCCCCCGCCGCCGCCTGCTCCTCCGCTTCCTCCGGCGGCGGATGGGGAAATGCCAGCGGATCCGCGGACAGCGGCCCCCAGGAAGGAGCGCTTGTAGTAGCTGTGCTCCACGGGTCGGTATCCCGACGAGGTCTGCAGGAACATCTTGTCGATGTGCGCGGGCGCATCGTCCGTGGGCGAGACGACCGGCGTGAATGGGTTGTAGATCTCCTCGCCCTCGGCGGGAGCAATGTCGTCGGCCAGCTCCTTTAGAATCGAGGATATGCCGCCAGCCGAATAGAGTTTGCCTGCGGGAAAATACAAGTGAACATAAAACAAGTTAATTTTATGATTATAAAATATGAAAACACCACAAATAATATAAAAGGCTTTTAATTTCCTATTATCGATTATATTATGTTTAAATAAAAGCCCTCATATTTGTCAAGGAATAGCCCGATCTGTCTTATTTTGCAAATAAATGTATGGGAATATTTTTTATGAAATTCTGAAAATATTAAGATGTTTAGAATAGGCTTGTGGCAATATTTTTTCTTTTTAATGTAACCTAATAATATATAATAGTATGCATTTAGTTTAAGATAAGAAAAATTGTTTATAGATTTGATGAATGATAAGGCGTAATTATTCGGCTCAAAATAATTAAATCAATCAAACGCCTACAAACTTGGCCAACGTCTCTTGGCATTTTCGGGTGTCTAGTGCGCAGAATCGGGAGCAAAGTGAGTGGGTGGCCAGGTGGCAGGGTGGATGGGTGGATGGGTGGATGGGTGGATGGGTGGAGCTTTTGCCCCAGCTGGTTTTACTCAATGGGAACTGGGACCTGAAAGTGGGCAAAGCGGACACTACACCGAAAATTATCACTAAATTTGGTCATCGATTGGGTATCTTGACGTATTTATGAAGCTCATAGTTTACTAATTATGATTAAGATTAGAAGTGCTGCACTGAAACTGCTGAGAAATATATTTTTTAAATTTATAAAACATATAGTAAATTACTCTTCTTTTAAATTATTTTAATTAAGAATTTTGTAGATTCTAAACCTAGATAGAGACATTAAATGCCTGTTAAATATTTTTCATACTTTATTTTCTGTTGCTGGGGTATGGTATCAATATTGCATTTTGGTGGTGTATTTAAAAAGAAACTTGAATAGAGCCTTTCATACCCCGAAATATAGCTTTCTTGCTATTAAGTGTAGTACAAATAAAACTAGCTTAAGCTGGACTTTCAGGCGTCTATAACTGAGTACCTGCGTTATTATCTTAGAACTTGTACACTTATTCACCACCACACCAAAGCTGATTATGAATTCAGCCCCCAGTGGGTAAAATTGTGCGGCACAGCCAAATTGTTTGTTTACCAATGCATAAATAGGGACATGGCAAAAAGTTGAACCTATTTTTAGATATTTGGAAGCTCTTTAAATATTATTTAATTGATTGAAATCTAAGAACAAAGGAAGTATATGACTTTTACTATTTCTAGTATTAATTCAAACCTAATAATTTAATTTTAGAACTCACTGATTAGCTGGCCCCGCTTGTCCCTTTGCGACTTGGTCTTCCGGTGGACGCGGCGCTCCTCGAGGCTCTGGTCGATCTCCAGCTCGCCGGAGAGGGAGGCGTCGTGCATGTCGGAGCACTGCTTGAGGTACCGCATCAGGGTCTCGTTGGCCTGCCGCACCTCCATCTCCCCGGCGGCAATCAACTTCCGTTCGCGGCGCCTCCTCGACTCCGACTTGCTGCGCTTCCGCCGCGGACTCTTGTCGAAGCTGCTCCGCGAGCGCAGGGATCGCTGGGCGGGACTCGCCTGCGGATCGGACAGCGATTGCTGTTTCCTCGAGGCACCCGTCCCATTACCATTCCCATTCCCATTGCCATTCCCATTTCCGTTTCCATTGCCACTTCCGGTTGCCGCGGGGGCGGAGGGCGTGGGCGAGCTCTGCTTGAGTTCGCGATCCATGTACCCCAGGATGCCGCGATGGAAGGACGCGTCCGGATCGGCCGGCGAGTGGTTGCGTCGCGATCGATGGTGGTGGTGGTGGTGGTGATGGGTGGCCGGCAGCTGCTGCAGCGTCTCCCGCAGGCTCATCGCATCGCCGGAGGAGTTGCGGCTGCCGTCGCTCTGCTTGGGCTGCTGCGCGGGCTGGCCGCCGCCCAGCGGCGACTCCTCCTCGGCCCCCTCCTCCTCCCCGCCTCCCTGGTTGCTCGGCGGGGCGTGGCCGTTGACCAGGACCACCGTTTGCTGCGACGTCTGGCTGGGCGAACCGACCATTTCGATGCTGTCCGCCGAACTCTGGGCACTGATGCGACCGGCGCTGCTGGGCGTGCCGCCGCTGCCGCCCTGATCCGCGGCCACGCCCCCTCGTTGAGGGCCGTCGCACAGTCGAGCGCCTCCGCCCGCTCGGGGGTGGTGGGCGGTGGCGGGGCGCCCGTCGCTGCCGCCTCCCGTTCCAAGCGCCGCTGACGCGCCTCCGTGCGGCGATGCCGTTGATGCTGGCGGTGCACCTTCGCCTCCATTGCGAAACTAGGATGCGGGACGCGAGTGTGGGGATCCAATCCAATCCGATCCTAGGCCAGCTGCATAACAGGTGGACAAGCCAGCAACCTGCGAACGGGAACCTTGCGCTGCTGCTGCTGCTACTGCAATTGCTACTGCTACTGCAACTGCCACTGGTGCTACTGCTGCTGCTGCTACTGCTGCTGCGGCTGTTGCAGCTTTTGACCCAAATAACAGTGCACACCCACACTTTCGCACGCGAACACGAATGCAACTCAGCTGCGAGCTGGTGGCATTTCCTCAAGGCTTCACTCTAAGGCGTTCTGCGCTAGTTGCATCTATACATTTATCATCAGCGATCCGAAAAAAAACATAGCCGAATTTGAGTATTTTCAAGGGGTTATCGCTTGGTTTCTTGTTCACTCCGCGTTATCCATGGCTTTCTCTGATATTCCTTGATATTTTTCAAGGCGCACGGATCCGAAACTAAAGCCGCGCGTTCGAAAATCTGTTCTGCAAAAACAACGATTTTGGCTCTGCGAGGGGTTTAAATAGACTTGGCTCTCCCAATCTATCAGATACAATTTCTCTTCGACGTCGACTGCGCTGCCGCTGTTAATGTGGGAGGAAATTGGAGGAACAGCTTGAAATTACATTTATGTTTTCTACTCCGGTTTGTGAGCGCGCTTATCTTACATAAAATATATTTAAATACAGAGAAAATTGTTTCATTATTCAAATAAAAATAAGAATCTGAATTGTAATCAAAAAATATTTCAAATAACGAAAAAAATGTACGGTTTTGTTTCAGGTGACAACCAATCCAATTTTTTTTTTCTTTTATTTAATTGTTTCTTTTGCAATAATAAGACCAAAATAGAAGACAATTAATTCTGAATTTTATAATCGGTTTAATGTTTAACCTTTAACCTTCTATGGAAAAGGTAGGTTTATTGAAAAATACTTTTAAAATCATAAAGTTATTTATCCTTTTAAAAAAAATAATTAAATTAGTTTAAATAGATTTTACGCTCGATGTAGAAAATTGTCGAATATGTTTAGTGCGGACTCAAGCCACTGTAAAGATTAGCCCACTGTTAACTGCGGCAGCGACGCCGACGTCACAGAGACAACCTGAAAGCCGAACGCTAATTTTGAGGAGAGATTGGGTGAAAGTCAGTTTGTGTGTGGTTGTAACGTAGTAACGGGACGAAAAGAGAGCGCGAGAGCTTTAAGGACAATGACGTCAACAGTGCGTGTCCGTGCACCCACACAACACGAGTGTGTGTGTGGGTATTGGTGCCTGTTTTTGTTGGTATTATTGACAAATTCTATTTTTAGGCATCTATAAAAACGTGAGAGCTGAGATGGGATTTTATTTGCAACACCTGAACCCACACTTTAAAGCCAGCTGCTCTGCACTGCGAGAAAAGGTCCTGTGACTTTAAGCAGTTTGGAAATAAATTTGGATATAGAGAGCTCGATAAATGGTGACTTAAAATTTAACTTTTATTTTTATATTTAATTTTTTTCTTTCACAAATTTGTGGTGGCTTTAAGATTGTATTTTGCCTCCACTTCTCCCCATCTTTAGTGTCCTGTCTTGGCAGAAACGAATTCGCCCACACGTTCGTCCTTTCTCCTCCGCACTCTCTCTCTCTTTCTCTGGTACTTTCTCCCACTCTCTCGACTGTGTAATCGATAAATGCGTGGTAGGATGTCAGCTCACTGCGCAGCTTTCGCCTCTGATGACGTCAATGGAAAAAGCTCCAGTCAAAACCAAAACAACAACAGTGCCTCCCCCAGGAGCCAACCCCTTCCCCCGGAAAATTCACAAAAGCCGGCAAAAGCTTGAAAGGCGTCAGGAAAATTTGATTATAGTAAAGCCTGAGAGAGAGAGAAAGCAATAGAGAGTGACAGAGAGAGGGCTAAGCAAAAACCTTCTGGCGTTGCTTTTAGCTAATGGCCCTTGAAATGGCAAAAGTCTCGTTGGGGGCGGATCCAAAAAATATATCTTGGGGTATAGCTGAATTTTAAACCAAAATCAGAAGGGGTTACAAGAAACATATTTTGAAAACCAAAATACATCATATAAAATAGCTATAAAAAAGTAACCCAATTTCTTTTAATGGTTTTTTTATAATAACATTTTAATCATTTATTATTTTTATATTTTTCCTTGAGAATCCCCTTTGGATGCGCAACTGTATGCAGTGATTCAAGGAACTCTTACCGCTCTCCCAAAATGTTGCAGACATCCCTGGCGAAAGGAAGAAAGTTCAAGAGTGAAAGAGAAAGAGCGAGAGTTGTGTGCGAAAAAGCGAACGTCACGACTGTGACGTCACACTGACGTCAGTGGGCTTATTGCCAAATAAAAAGCGGTTAAGGAGTAATAAAGGCGAGCAAAGGAATGCTGCAAAAGACAGATCGATACATATAAAAATGTACATATTGCGAAAAACTAAGACATTTCACTAGATTTATGGAGCAAATGTGTTTTCACATGGAAAGTTTATTCACCCAATAACTTTCCCTGTAATAACAAAGTATGGAAAAAGAAACTACGCATTTTTTCGTCTTTAATGTTTTAATATAAAAATCAAAGACTTATAAAACTACTTTATTTTCAAAATTTTGAATGCTTTGTATTTATTTTAAACAGCCTAAATGCTGCACTTCCTTCAAGGATTCCTTGAGTTGTTTTACTTGAATAAATACTTTCTATATTGCCATAGGTTAGTTCCTTTTTACTTCAAGCAAACAAATCATTTGAACTTCTTTGGGTATTTTGTTAAAACTTGTTAACAACAGAGCAAAATAAGATTTTAATTAAAATAATATAATATAATATAATAATAATAATTTAATTATATTTTTCACCATCCTAGGATAATAGTGACTTATAAATTAAAATTGTTGTACACTTCTGTACGCCCATTTCCATCACTGAGCGTTGCCCTGGAAACCTTCGATGTGTTATGTCAATAAAGGCAGTCAAAATACAGCCGGTCCTTAAAAAGAAGTTGAGCAGAAAACAAGCGAAGGATCATAGAAATGCCGCTGCTGGAGGCTCCTGCCGAGTACCTGGACTCGTCGCCGGATCACTCCCCTGCAGGCGGAGCTGCCCGTCCTCCTGGCTCCTCCGGGTCCGGCGGCCTTGGCCCAGGTCCGGATGCCGCCGCCTGAGGTGCGCCTCAACCAGCAGAATCCCGCCCAGCAGCAGCAGCTCCCAAGGGTGCAGCTCAACCGCAGGCTGCTGGTCCGCCGGAACTCCTTCGATCGGGATGTCCCCGTTACCGAGGAGACCCAGCACCTGCCGGCCTTCGTCCACTTGCTGCCCGTGGTGCTGCCCCAACAGGCGCCGGAACCCACATTGGATGAGTTACTGGTAGGCAAATTTAATCTGCACTGAAAGAAATAGACATTACATAGTTTATTCCAAAGCAAACTAAGAAACTCGTGGTTTATTAACAAGACACTTCTACATAAGACAACCACCTTTTGGAGGCATCAAACAATAAATTCAGTACTAATGTTTATCAAGTACTTAAATTCGAAATTAAAATTCTAATTCGAAACTACAGAAGCTGCCAATTTCTATTAAAACTGGTTAGTTTTTAAATTTTTTTAAATGGATTAAATTGATTATCCAGTTAATAAACTTGAGCTCGAGTACATTTTCCTAAACATGTCGAGCATTTACGTTGATGATAGCCAACCAAAATGACTTGATACTTACTCTAGCAATTCCAGACTTACCTTTGATGTTTCCAGCTGAACTCAGAATAATCCTGCGATGTCCTTTCAGCGCCGCGTGACACAGCGCACGGATCTGGAGGCGGTGGAGTCGGTGCGCCTGCGCGTCATCTCCTACACGATCAGCCTGTCCCGCCTGTCGCTCTTCCTGCCGCGTCTCCAGAGCCTCGACCTGAGTGGCAGTGTGCTGAGCTCGCTGCGGGACCTCGGCTACGGACTGCTCCAGCTGACCCGGCTGGACATCAGCAACTGCGGCCTGAACAGCTTCGACGGGACCAGCGGACTCCCTGCCATCCGGGTGCTCGTAGCCGATGGCAATATGATCCAGCGCGTGGATCCGCTGGCGGAACTGGCTCACCTGCGAGTCCTGCGGGCCCGGAACAACCGGATCAGCGAGCTGGGGCTGCTCTCCTTCCTGGGCATGTGTCCGCAGCTGCAGGAGGTGGAGCTGCAGGGGAACCCGGTCTGCCGGCTGCCCCTCTACCGATCGCTCCTCGCCCGCAGTGTGCCCACTTTGCGGCTGCTGGATGGAAGGGTGCTGAACTCCCCGACGGAGCTGGAGGAGCCTCCGTCGCAGTCGTCCAGCGATCTGGAGTCTGGCTCCGAGGCGATGCCCCAGCGACCGGCCACCGCACCAGCTCCTGTTCCAGATCCCGATCCCGATCCCGTTTCCATTCAGATCAGCCGGAATCCTGGCATCCGGCGGCAAATGTCCGCCAGTTCCGCCTCCACGCCGGTGGCCGGAAGTGTTCTGGGTCTGGTGCGGCAGCGGAGGCGACGCAGTGGCCACGCCTGGGTGAGCTCCTCCTCCTCCTCCTCCGGCTCTGCCTCCAGCGGTTCGTCGTTCGCCTCGTCGGCCAGGTCCACCAGGGCTCCCTCGATGAGCTCCTGCTCCTCCAACAGCAGCCTCGATGTCCACTCGTCCAATTACGCTTTTAGCGCGCAGTCAACATTGGATTAAGATGAACTGTCTCCCGGATTCAATCTTTATCAAGGCACTCCAACGCAATATCCACAAAGATACTAAAGTTGGTAATAAATGGAGATGGTTCTCAAGTTTGTTTCAATTGGTGCGTTTTATTTAAAGACGGATTCTACAAAACAATTCCGATTGGGATGTCTACGTCTCAAGTGCTTTGGTTACTGGTGTGATTTGCAAGTTAAATATTAACAGTGATGGGAAGAATACCCTTCTACTTTAGGAAAAATATTAAGATATGATCAACCAATTAATAGCTACCATTTAAAAACAGGTTTGAGCTGTGAGAAAATCTCATTTTAAGTACTTTTTCGGGATTAAAGATGGCTAAGTGAGAGGGTACCTTCCCAACACTAAATTCATCTAGTTATTAAATTCTAATATCTACTCAGTGTAGCTGTATTGAAAGAGAGCTGCCGAGGGTGATCGAACCGGGACGAGTTGGCTCTGTCCATTTGGTTGGCGGAACACCATGTAGTCGCGTCCATTGATTAACCGCCGGACACCGCCACCGGGATCTCCGCCCAGCAGGACGCCATTGCCACTTCCGGAGGCATTTCCATTTCCGTTTCCGTTGGCGAGAGGTCGTCGCCATCGACTGCGGGGATCTCCGTTGGTTCCTCCGCTGAAGATGCTCTGGTACGGCGGCGGTGGAGTGACATTCTGTCCGTGGGTCGAGGCGCCCAGCAACTGGCCGTGACCACTGTCCACTCTCCGCCAACCGCGCAACCAGCGGGAGGGAGCCACCGACTGGCCATTCGGAGTCCTGCCGATCCCGTGGCGAGCCCACTTGTTCGCCTCCTGGCGACTGTTTATGTAGCGGAACACCAGCTCCGTGCTGAAGACGGCCACGGCGGTGGCGAATCCGGCCAGCATGATGTAGTAGGTCATCATCAGGTCCCCGTTCCTCAGCTGCCGCTCCGTGCCGCCGAGGTCCTGCGGACAGATCTCGGCACTGGGAATGTCCCTCGACGACAGGTGCTTCACAATGCCCGACTCGACCAGGTTAAGCAATCTGAAATGGAGCAAACCAATCAGTTCTGGTGATACCATACCCTTTAGCTCACCCACTCCGGATCGAAGAGCTGGCTGAGATTGGAGCCAATGGGATAGGCGAAGGTGCGCTTCTTCTTCAGGAACGGCTCCTTTGCCATGGCGAACGGACAGTGAACCTTCTCGTCGCTGTAGCTAATGGTCTTCCTGTACAGGTAGTCCTGGTACAGCATTATGTTTATGGCCGGCCGATCCCTGACGAACACGTAGCCATTCCGCTCCACGTAGTTCTGCAGGTTGTAGGTGTCGTTGGCCTCCTCCGAGAACACGGCGTAGTTGTTCTGGATCATCCGGTTCAGCATGAACAGGGATTCATTGGTCTGGAATTTGGTTAGAAAAGTTATCTTAAGAATTGATTGATTTTAAAAATGATTATCCTATGTAGTTAAAACTTCGAAGTGGCTTTCCATCGTTATCCGTTGTTTAATTTTTATAATCACTTTAAATAAATTCTTGGAAATAATTGCTACTCTACTATCCGTAAAAGATTTTTTAGAGATGGTACATATTCCTTTTTTAGGGGTAGAAGTAGTAAATGATTGCCAAACGTAGCCAATTGTCATAATTTAATTTTTCAATTATTCCATTATCTTGAAATTACATTCAATGTATGGTATTTGGACCACTCTGAGGAAAGTTAATGATTCAATCGATTTTAGTTTTCATTGTTCTACTCCCGTGTTTATCTTACACTTCCGATATCCGACTAATTTATTTCTCCCGAGGGATCACCGTGCTCACCGTGCGAATGGCGTACTCCACCCCGCCGCCCCGAATGGACACAAAGTGCTTGTTCTTGGTGAGGATATCGTTGACCGTGTTGTAGGGCAGCGTGAACTTGGAGAGGGTGAGGAAGGCGGTCAGGTTGGCCGTGTAGAAGGACGTCAGTATCGTGATGAAAATCCACCAGGTGGCAAAGAGCAGCCGGGTCGAGTCTGCAAGTAAACCAAATGAAAGGGGGTGAAACAAAGTGGGTTCATGCATGCAATCAGAAGGCCCATTAGCCCATTAGCCGATGGCTATCTGCTGCGACCGATTGCACTTTAACCTAATTGCAGCCCACCTGCGATGGGCGACAAGGTGCTGCCTTGCTTCATCAGCGCCCCGTAGACGAACCAGGCGCAGTGGCCCAGCGAGTAGGGCGTCTGCTGCCCGTCGCCCGTCAAACGATTCCGCAGGATGATCAGCACGTAGATGATCGGCCCGACCGCCAGCAGCGAGACGAGGATCAGGATCCACACCCAGAACTCGAAGGGCGCCAGCAGACCCGATCCGCTGGCCGACTCCCGCGGTCGCTGCATCACCATTATCCACTCGCCCTCGTCCAGAGTCGTCGTCGAGTAGTAGACGTAGGTCCGCTGGTCCGACAGCGAGGGTATGAAGGCCGCGGCCAAGTCCACCACCTAATGGGTAAAACAAAAATTTGAAGCGGTTAAATGTTTCCCTATCCTATCCTTAAAAATACATGCACAATTTATGGTAAATTATAAAAATAAATAAATTGTTTAATAAGTCTTTGAGTCAAAGAAATTTAGAGAAACAAAAATGTCCCTAAAAAAATAAAAGTTAAAATGGAATGAAATTCTATGATTATGAATTAGCTTTAAATATAGAGGGATTAACCCCACAAAAAATTGTTTATAATAAATAGGTATTTCGATAGATATTGAAATTCATAGAAAAAGAAGTGGTTCATAAATAGTTTGTAAAGTGTTAAAAAGTTACAATTCTGAAGGGTACTTCCCTTTGATGGCAATAAAAAACAAATATTGGCAAATATATTTCGTTATCTAAGCTTTGAATTTTGATTTTACTTAAAGAAATTGGTAGCCCATTAATTTGACAACAGCCAAAGATTACTTTGAATTGACAAAATACTGACAAAAAAGAAACACATTTTTTTACTTCGATGTTTTTAAGGAGAATCGTGAATTAGGCAGACAATGATATATTTTTTAGGTGATCAAATCAAAAAGGCTACTCACACTGCTGTTGACCATCTGGATGAGGCTGCGATCGAAGTCCTTTAGCGATCCGATGATGTTGTCCTGCGGCACCACCACTTCGTAGGTGAAGTTGAACTTCTTCTTGAGGAAATTGATGATCTGAAAGGAGACGCCTCGTCCGATGCGGGTACCGTTCTCGAGGAGCTCCGTGTAGCTGAGCGGATAGTCCTCCAGGGTGGCGATCCGCAGGTGCTTTCCCCCGATCCACTCGCGCATCTCGCGCAGCTTGAGCTTCTTGCTGATGAGCGACTCCAGTGTCTCCGCGGGGGCATCTGCATCCAGTCCTGCCTCGTTGGCCGCCACATTACCGATGGGGAGTTCGGTGGGGAGACTGCCATCCTCGCCCAACTGGATGAGGTTGGCCGGCAAGGATTCGTTGAGCGCTGGACAGGCGGCACAAAGGGCGGCGGCCACCAGCAGCTCGATGCCAGTGGCCATCGTGGCGTATGCGTGATGTGGATACTGTTTCCCTCTGCAAAAATATCTTCTCTCCGGTGGCTTCTCTAGTTATTCGGCTTTTTGCGCTTCCTGGGCATGCTGTTGCGTTGCCTCCAACGCCACGAAACTCACTGAAACCGAAAGTGGAAACTTTGAATTACACCTGGCCCGCCTCGACCATTCGGAACGCTATGTAAATATAGTCCCTGCATGCTCGGCCACCCCTCAAATACAATTAACAATAATGACAAGTGCAAACATGACAGTTGCCCACGGCTTGGGGGTTTCTCTTTTTTATTTTTGTGGAGGGTGCCCCATGGAATGCAGATTGGAGCCTTTGATTGGACTCCATTCGAACAGGTTGCGAGCATTCCCAGGCGACCTAACTAGAAACTAATAAGCCGGGCAACAGCTTAAGAAAATACCTGGAAATATAGTTCAAGTCCAGGCGAAGTGGGTTATGAAAGCCTATTGCATAGTCATTGCCTAACCAATTTCGATTTTCAAGGGCATGAAGGCCACTCGGGTTCAGTAATAGAAATGTCCCCAATCGAGTGTCCAGAATTGATTTTACCATTTGAGAACTTTGCCACAAAGTCATTGGCAAACAAATTAATCCTTTTCAGACTGAAAATTGTCGATAGTTCCGCTTAATGGCTATGAAGTAATTATTTCATGTGGTAACAATTATTGAGTATTGATTATCTTGATTATATTTAAAGCTTATTGAGATTCGAAAGGCGGATTGTTAATTTTATATTTGATTTGTTTTTTCCCCTTTTATTTGTGATGTATGTACAGTATCTACAATTGTGTGACTCAGTTCCCCATTCGTTTTAACCAAAACGACTATTAGAGTCTGAAGCTTCGCCACTTGATAATGAATTTTGACTGCACTTGCAGTCTTCTCCATCGATTCTTCCTTTTCCAGAAGTGAGGATCCGCACGCCCTCTGCGAATTTGGGGAATCCCGACATCGTCTCCTTCAGCGTGGTCATCATAACTGGCAAGTACATAAAGAAGTCCTTGAAGTGACCCACAACAGTGTGATAGTCAACCAGTCTTCCGTTTCCGGAGTTCTGGTTACTTCCATCATTGTCTATATCATTTCCGGATTGGGAGGAGAAGGGCAGGGCAAAGCAGAGCTGTATAACTATAAATATATGATTTATTTTATTATGAAAAAAATATTTATACTGCTATTAAAAGAAGTTATTGGTAAATTTTTCTTGAAAAACTGAACCTTACCCAACAAGAAAACAGTTGTCACTGCTTGGAGTTGGATTCGCTGATTGTCGTCTCTCATGGCTGGAAATTTCTGCAAATGTGCAGCTCGCGAAAAAGTTCCATGCAATATATAATATTCGGAGTGCCAATTAAGCAGAAAAATTCAAGAACTCTTTGTCAACGGTTTTCTTTTCCACCTCTTATGGTCATTCGCTTCATTACCAAAATACCTGAGACATTTTTAACAGTCATAAGCCAAAGACCTTAGAAATCGAATAATATTTACATTGTTTGCAAACATTATCATAATATTAAGTATTACATTTTTAAAGTTCAGGTCCATTTAAAGATCTCTCGAACTGTATTCTTTATTTTTTCTAGTTATCTTACAAAACAGAAGATCAATTAAAGAATAGCTGAAGAAGAAATAAAACAATAAGAATTTTTTCCCTGATTTTATTGGTTTCATATATTTTTTCACCTATTCCTTGCTTATCTTAAATAAAACCAACAAATTTCAAATTTATATGTACTAAAACTTTGAGATCATATCTATGCGATCGAACTTTTTAGACCAGTCGCGAATATATCGGTTTGTGTCTAGGCTACCCGGTATCGGTTTGGCGCCAAACAAGCGAGTTTAAACTTCCGTCAGAACAAAGAAGCAGGCAAAACAGGTAAACATGTCTTTACTGCAGGCAGTTTGTGACTCAACCTATTAAATATTTATTAATTGGTACTTGATGGTTAGACGGTGTCCGGATTCCATTCCAGAGATACCCACCCATAGAACAAAGCTCACTTCGCATCAGCGCTCATTAAAATGGCCCACGAGGTCCCACTTTTAATTGCTGTTATTGAAACAAGATCTGTACGAGGACAGAATATATGGGTGTTATTGAAAATTGATTAGAAAATTTCCATTGTAATCTTCTTTAATAGCTTGATTTTGTTATTGAGTTAACTTCAGCTGTTTTATGTAAAAGTAAAATCAACTAGAACCGATTTAAAATTTGATTGATAGGATATGCAAAAACGAAATTGTAGGGGTAACCAGTCTTGGAGACATTGTGCTTAAAACGAGAAACCCGCTGACCCTGCCCCGCAAATATCACGCGTACAACCGAAATTGGAGCCCAAAAATGTGCTGACCGAAATGCTGTGGATTGGGAATGGGGCTCAAGTTCAAAGTCAATGACAATGCGCCGGCTTTGAAATGCTGCAATAAGCTCTCGAAATAACTACGATAATTGATGTTTCTCTTGGGCCGCTGCCGTTTTTTTTTTTCGTGTTTATTTACTTAATGTTTGTTGCTGGTTTTTAGCACCAGTCGGCGAAACCGTTGGTTGGTGGCTTTGGAGGCGGGGCAGTGGGAGGAGGAGGAGGAGGGGGGGGGGGCATTAGCTCGCTCCGAAACACGTACTGAAACGCCGGCGAATAATTCGTGTTTATGCCTCGCAACCAAATTAAACTACAATTATGATCCGACTTTATTGATGTTCGCTGATGCGTGCGCCTCGTTGGCTGAGCAGAAATATAAACTGTAACAGGTTTTATGGTATGACGCGCCCATTTACGGACTGCCTGTCGTGTGTCATCGGAAGCCTTATCGCTTATCACGCGGTGATTTGCAGCTTTTTAACAAGCTGGGAGATGCTCCGGCGAAATACGACTGCCTTATTGTCGCCACTTGATGGGTTATTAATTTTTTTAACACCATTAAGTAAGTGCCGGTAATTTACGCCGTTTGAGACACAAAAGAACCGATTTGCTATGGCGATTATAATAACACGCAACACATAATTAACTTGTTAGGGTTTCGTTGCTCATTCGGCTTTTGTCTTATTTAGTAGGAGCTATTAATGTGGGATTAAGCCACTATGCTCTGATTAATTTACTTCTTTCGGTTACGAGAGCAATTTTGTTCCTTTTTATGTTAATGTTCGACTGTAAACATTTTTATAAGCACAATTAATAAGAGCTGCAAGCGAGTGCTTTATTGCCACTAATTCATGGGTGATTAAATTTTTACACTTTTTTTTGTAGAGGTGAGAAAAATGAACTTATTTGGGCAAGTGAGTTTTCACCGTCAATTGGTACTACAAAATAAAAATATACTCGTACAACGTATATTAAAAGCTCTATGAAGTTTTCCACTTACGGAGATATATTTTTCGTTTTTATTCAAACTTTTAAGGCTTGCAAAGGAATTTTCAATTAAAGTCAAGCTTTATAGAACTTTATAGGTAAAGATTTATAGCCACTACATCACCACATTATTATGGATAGCTGGTAATGTCTGTCAACTGCCAGTAAAGAATTTCCAACTCCGCCGTAGATTGCGATAGTAAAATTAGCTTTGCAAAATTCACTCACGTAATTCAAGAATATCATTTTATTTGACTTTCTGATTCTCACAGAATATTTACACTTAGCGAGGGGCTAATTAAAACTACAAATAAATGGGCAAACTTGGAGAGAAGACTTAGGCGCGATATCACAGGGAGTAGTTCACAGAGGAGAACAGGCCCACTTTGGATTAGATCACAAACTCCGGACGACTGTTCTCCCGGGTGATGAGGTAAGGACGCTGCTCCGTGGGACATCGAAAGGTCTCGAAGAGATGGGTGGCGAATCCACTCTTTTCCCCGGGCATTTCCAGCATGTTGTTCCATATCGAATTAGCCGCCGAAGCGTGTCCTCGCTGGCTGAGATGGAAACAGTCCTCCGAGAAGAATCGAGTATCCGTTTTTCCAGAGCGTGTGCGCGGAAAGTCTTTGAACTGTGAAAAGGGCTGCACGTTGATAGTAAATGTCTGAAAAAGGGAGAAAAGGTAAATTTTAAATTATTCTAGAAATCAACTAAAGGAGAAGAATTCAGAAAAACAGAGAGGATTCAAACTAATTTAATAATGTCTCTAAAGGTTATGCTTTTGCTTGGTTAACAATCTACCAAATAAAAAGGGATATATTTTAAAGATTCTGCTGGGCAAATTAAGTTACCTTTAAATAAATATTAAAATATAAAGAGAGTACAAAAAAAATTACCATTTTAAAAGTTAACTTTGTATTAGAATTGCCAAAGTAATTTTGCTTCTAAATAACCATTTAGATTTGAATTCCTTAGCATTTATAAATAATTTATATTTACGACGTTACCTCGGTGTTGAACTCCTCCCTGTTGGCGATCTCCGAGTCCTTGGCGATCCAGCGCTTCATGATGCCCTCCAGATAGTCCAGCTGCGCCTTGCCCTTGCCCATCAGGCAGGGACACTCGAAGCGGAGAGTACTGTAGCAGATCGGCGGCAACCCAGAGAGGTTGGTGAGGAACCTCAGGTTGGGGGCGGGCACTACGTTCAGCATGAGGCGTGGCACGTTGTCCCTGAGATAGCGATAGGTCTTCACCATGTTCCGCTCGTGCCAGTCAACGGTTTTCTCCGGATCCGGATAGTAACAGATGTCCGTGCAGAAGTCGTTGTTGCCGATGAAGAGGGTGATGAGCTTCCAGTCCTCGGTCATGTTCACCTTGGGATCCCGCTGCATGCGCTTCACCAGGACCTTGGCCATGTACGGCATGTCCCTGGACATGGCGGCCAGTTCGGCGACATCGAAGCGGGAGGAGCGGTCCGTGGAGATGCCGTCCTTGATCGCATAGCCGTACAAATTCGGATTGAACTCCTTGAGGATGTTGGGCAGCGTGAGGTACTTGCGCCAGTCGTACTGCCCCCCGATGGACCACACCACGCCCCTATTCTCCACGGTCACGTGGAGCAGGTTCGTGGCGAAGATCCCGTTCCCGGCGGTCAGCGAGTCGCCCATGGCCCCGATCACATCGATGTCTCCGGGTCGCAGGCGGTGGACACTGGTCGGCCGCTCCTGGCTGCGTCGTCCTGGTCCGTGCTCCGCATCGCAGAACTCCAGCAGGGCTCGGGTGCGGGGATTGGACCTCTGGGTTTTCTGTTGGAGATGCAAATTGGAAAAAGATAACTAACGAACTAATATATGTATATATAAATAATATAATTGTAGTTAAAAATGTAGCTGAAATTAACTACATTTGTCGTTGAGAATATGATGATTTAAATACAAAACTATATGATATAAAGAGCTTTCAAATAACAAGTACAGGCTTTGTTTAAAAATAGTTAACATAAAACATAAAAATGAAAATATTATACGGAAAGAAAAACAGCTTAATGCAACTGCAAAATAAATTTTCCTTATATAGAGTATATGTTCTAATTTTCGTTAGTGTATAATTCTATATTTCTTTTCGCTTATTCCATCGTCCAATTAAATTGATATAACAGTATATTGACCGCATTTCGGCTGAATCAATCCGAAAGTAATCAATTTAAAGCCGGATCAATGATTGCATTATTCGGGCGGACTCACCCCCGCATTTTGAACGCGCTGCACGTTTTGTGGATCGTCGCCGGAGCGCCCAGTAAAAGTCAGGCCCAGAAGACGCAGCGGTCTGTAGACGTTCCTCAGAGCCACGTCGAGTGACGTGCGCTGTGACGTCACTTGGCCCAAAGCGAGCAGGAAGAGGAGGCCAAAGCAAATAAGCCGATGCGATGACATTTCGAGAGACAGCTGAGGAGAGATAAGATAAAAGCCATGTAAGTCGTAACCCGGTCGATGGACCTGCCTTCTCTTAACACACTCTCGGTTTCGCTGATGACGTCCTCGACTTTGAACCAGTTCCCCCAGCTTGGCCAAGAAATTACACAGAAGCCGAGCTCGGGCCACTTGGGTTTATTCACCTTTGGCTGTTTTCGCTTTTGTTTTGGCTTCGGCGGCATGGAGTCGACTAATTTTAACATTTTAGCATTAAATAATATTGACCACATTATGCTAATTTGTTGCTGCGGTATAAAATCTTTTGGAGCCGCAAATAAAGCCAAATGACTAATCAGTTTGGATAGGTGAGAATAATAATTTGATGAAATACCTCCGCGTGGAGCAAAAACAAAATTTTAAGAATTCGTCTAGCTCATTTATCATGTGTTGAAAAAACGTATGCTTAAGTATAATTATGAATGCAAATTGTAGTCAAAATATTCCTGGTTTATCTTTTGTGTTTCGAAATCTAGAACATTCTTTATCTTTTTTTAAGGAAGAGATTTTTCAAGTGGGATATTAAGTTGTTAAATTTATTCCTAGTTATAAGATAATAATCTCCAAGTTTTTAACACAATTATTTCCAAGATAGTTAGTTAGTCAGTTATACTATTTCATTTCAAATTTATCACTTGTTCTTATTGAGATTTAAATCACTTCCATATTTTATGCATACAACTCTTGAGACACATTCATTAAAATTGCAAACCAAAAAAAAACGTTAAGTTCACAAAGTTGCCGAAAATGGTTAAAATTATCCAAATTATACTGGACTGCATGCGGAAGTGTCGAGGAAGAGGGAAACCGAAGCGGGTCTACATAAGACATCTAGAGAGCGTGCCAAATCCAGTTGTGATAAAGATTGATTTAAATTTCGATTTCATTTAGCCAAGCGAATTTGCTTCCTTTCAGCGCCACGCGAAACAAAAGACTTAGGAAGCGAACGCGAATATATAGAACAGCGCGAAACATACCTTCTTGACTGTGTTTATGTAGATACGATTTAAACACGGAGTCTATAATTATAATTAGGTGTCTTTTGACTCTATTAATTTTCACTTCACTTCTAGCTGGGTAAATCTTGCAGCTCTTATTTTTCACTGCACAATTACTGGAGGGCCAGGTAAAGTGGGAAACCGATCAACTATTCCAGACCGAAAGCACGATGAGCGTCCGGCTCCGTCAATGGCTTAGAACCAACTGCTGGGTAGAATTTCTGATTATGCTGATTTTATACGGAGTCCCAGCGATCGTCGGATGACGACTACGCATAGAATAAAATGGAATACAACTAAAAACAAAGCCGCAATAATCTCGCATATGCGACTGTCGAAACAGAACACAAGTACAAAATGGAGAAAAAAAAACATATATATCGTCTGTCAGACTGATACCGGTTAAAGCCGCGACTGCGAAGCGTTTAACGTGATGTTCACTTTCGTTCGGCCGATATAAATAGTCCCCAGACACTGTTTCCAGTCTAGACCGACGGTTATTACACCTGACATGCGTGGTATTAGCGATCGCGATCGCGATTCTAAACGTGGACAGTCATCGTGCTGTGCAGAATGGAATAAAATCGGACACTCGCTATAAATAGAAGATACTTTGCTCCAGACGATGCCCGTTTTTATGGGCGCTAATTGGCTGGTGGGGTTTTTTTTATGGCCAGGAATGCCATTAAAGGGGAAAGAAATAAACTTACATTTGCATTGCAATGGCCGGGAACCGGCTATCTGTGTCCGAAGTCCAAAGTCGCAAATAACACTTCCGATACAAGACCCTCCGGCCTGGCTAGTGCAATTGACTAACCTTGTGTCAATACGATCATAACGGCCAGAAGCAATTAAGCCAAACAACGAATCTGGAGAAGAGGCAGCCGCAACTTTGGCAACTTGTTATAAATCAACGAGCCCAATCGACAAGAAGGAACCGTCAAGCACGAAGCACAGCCACATCAAGTCAAGTCAGCTTCTTGGCTGAGTTATGACGTAGGCAGACAGCCCGGAGAACGCTTTAACAAGTATACGATATACTAGATGTCACTTTGGAGGATGATACGCTCCAAGTGTCTGCCGACTTTAATCTCCAAAGATCTCCGAGTATGATATCTCTCAATTTAAGACTTTCATTTAAAAGATTTGCATGCAAATTGGTTTCGTCTGCTGCTAACTGGCGAATTTATTAACAACAGGGGTAAAGTATTTGTTAATCCTGGAAGATAGAAGCAATAGAGATTATGTGGACTGAAAAAACGATGTCATTTAAACATTTCAGCAAATAAAAATAGAAGTCTTAAACACTTTAAACTGGGAAGAAATTCAGTCTGTGGGGATTTCTTTTTACTATTTTACTAGGTATTAGATAAGAAATCGCTTGCCATATACATAATTTATATTTGGGAAAAGCTATTCAGTTGTTGAAAAATCTGTTACGTTGTAAAGCTTTGTGGTTGTGAAACCTTTATTAAAAACAAACTCAGTTTTTGTTTAAGCTTTAGAATTTTACCTAATGCAACGGAGTAAAAGTTTTTTTTATATCCCCTAAGGCCAAAAAATAAGGTGGAGAAAAATATATTTAATCAAAACATTTTAGTACAACTTAGTTGTTTATCAAAAATCTTGCAAAATCTTTAGGCCCTTAAGGTGTTTTAAGTACTAAACATTTTAACAATTAAAATTTACAATAGCAGTGCTAGGTTTGGTAAATTTTTCTATACAGATTTTTGTAACGTATTTTACACTTGATTTATATAGCTATAGCTTGCAGTGTTGCCAGGTGATGAGCGCCCGTATATCGCGGGTATATATCGATAGTGCCATGACTGGCTCGCATGCCACCTCTAGCACAGCTGTTTTTCCGATTTCCTCTGTTCCGTGCTGTGTATAAATTGTTATTAGGATCTAGGCTAGAAATTACTGGTTGCACACTCACCGCCACTGCTCCACCGACCACCGCCCCTTGCAAGGACACCCACCACGATGAGCTCCAAGGACAAGAGCAAGTTTAAGCTGTTCCTCAAATCGCTGCCGGCAGGTAGCGACTGACGCGGTGTGCTTTTATTCTGGCCAAGACATTTCTAATGTGTTTTTTTTTCGCGGGGCCTGGTAGGTTATGTGGGTGAGCGGACACTTCGGCCGGAGTTCGAGAGGGAGCTGCGACCGGAGCAGCCGGTGGCCCAGCGCTGCAAGATGCTTAAGGAGCTGGGCGACATGCAGCTGCACAACTTAAATCTGGACGAGGTGCGTTAAACTTTATCTCACCTCCTTTGTTTTACTAATGTCTGTACATTTTTCGCACTCGCAGACTTCCATCACCATTCTATTCAATCTCACCAACGATCTCATTGTGCCCAACAAGCCGGCCGAAACCCGTCAGATTGCCCTGAGCTTCTACAAGAGGCTCATCCACACACAGTACAAAAACCTGACCATCATGCGGGAGAAGTTCTTCCTGGTCATTCAGAACCACGAGGCGCGCGAGGACCTGCGCCACCTGCTCGAGTTGCTCGACACACTCACCGACAATGGAAAGGACATCACCAATTTTGAGGAAAAGGTCGGTTGGCCATCTATTGCCGTTCAGAAACTGTGCCTATTATCCCAATTGGCCTTTTCCAGATTGGCAAGTTCATGCTGCTCTGGATCCCAGCAATCACAGAGGCCAATCTGCTCCGCCCCTATCTTGACATGCTGGTCAACCTTATCAAATTCAACGCGGCGCATCTCGACAAGGACATTCTCGTGGGCATTGTGCAGTTGGTGTCGCATTCTTGAGCTCACTAAAACACACTGTCTAAGAAAGTTATTCGTTTTTCCAGAAACGCCTGCGACCTGAGCTGCAGTGTCACCGTCAACGAGATCGGGCTGCAGTGCCTTACAATACTCGAGATGGTCATCGGGTATACAATCTTCCCCAGCGAACCGCTGCCGCAGTGCATCACCACCTTGTGTCGGACAGTTAACTATCCACCTTATTGCCCGTCCTCATTTAAGGTGAGTCTAAAAAGCAGAAGCTTGAAAGTAACCACCACCTATTTATTATTCTATTAGATTTTAATTCTTAGAGAATGGTAATATGTTTCAACATTTCATAAGGTATTTTGTTTTGTTTATTAGCTTGCAAAAACTCCTAATATGAAATGAATTTAGACGAGAACTTGTCGTAGTTGCTAATAGCCTCTGACGAAGACGACGGCTGCTTGGCATTGACCTCGGACGCTGACTTTTCTTCTTGGCTTACCAACTCCTTTTTCATCTCAATCTGAGCCTGCTTCTGAATTTCCTTCTCCGCTTTATTTTTTACTGGGATGTTTAACTGGGCCACTTCTTTCTCCGGCTTCTGCTCCTGTTTTTTCACCTGCACATCCTGGCATTCGTTTTCGAAATCTAGACTGCAGTACCGGTTAACAACATCGAAGTACTGACCGCGTGGACAACGCATCTCCAGAACCCTCTGCTTGGCACACACAAAATAGCGACGACAATCGTGGCTGTGCGGCGCCAATCGGCTGCCCGTCCTGATGCACTCATCTAGGGCGAGTGCCTGTTCCGACAGCACTGGCGGCATGGTGGGCCTCTCCAGGCAAATGCCCGTGTGATCCGGTATACAGCCGCTCAATTTTGCCTCGAAGTAATCGCCCGGCGGACACTGGATCAGCTCTGCCTGTCCGTCATGACAGCGGAAGTATGTCTCGCAATCGTTGGGATTCGCCAGCGTAGCGTTTTCCGGCAGCACACAGCTGCATTGATGGGCAGCAGTTATAGCCACCGGCAGGCAGGCTCTTCTCTCCGAATCAAAGTAGCTTCCGGCGGAGCACTTGGCCACCACGAAGGATCCCCTCTCCAAGCATTGTCTGTATCGCGAGCAATCGGTATGAACTCGCTCTACGCTGTTTGATGTCCCACAAACGAAGGGCTCATTAGAGCAGTTTCCGGGCATGCAGATCCTCAGCGTCTGGCTAAAGTGATACTCCGCCGGACAGCTAAACTCCTGAAAAGGCAGCTCATCGTCACCCGTGCAAACGTAGAACCTCTGGCAATGGTTCTCATGGGGCAGCATTTGCCAGGGATCGGAACTCCTGCAAATTGAGGCAATATCCAGCGCGGCTAAAGTCGTCGATGAGATACCCAAGACTAGGCAAACAACTAGAAAAAGATCTGAAGGAAACCAGAGCTATATGGTTAACCGGAGTCTTATTATTTCTATTCTTCTACTCACCATTCATTTCTGTAAGATGTGCGTTTATGTAAAGAATCCGTCGAATGCGGTGTTGATTGCAGGTGACTTTGCTTTTTATGTCCTCGCTTTGGCGGGGATTTATCAGCTAATTTTCTCATTCGGCAATCGCTGGCGGAGATTGCTCCGACATTCGATAATTAATTCTAATGAGCACTCTGCTCAGACTTTATCTGGCTCGATTTTTTGTACCACTTATCTGAACACTCCTCTGACTTCACCGCCTCTTATCGTTTAACATGTTCCGGCAGTTGGTGATTAACCCTAGCTCTAAAATAAGAAATGATCGCGGGTGGGAAAGAACAGTTAAAACACTTTTTCAAGGTCTTAACCGGAGATAAGTTTTAGGAGCGCTGACCCAGTTTCCTTCAAGTGATCTTGATCCAAGGTTCTTAAACAAATATCTTGTTTTTGGTAACATACTTTTAGAACACATTTTCACTTTAAACGGATTTACGCTGTAAAATATTGTATACAAGACATCAATTTATTTCATTCCGATCCAAAATTCTGCACACTAAGCGTAATAGCAACCAATTAGATCCTTGGGCATGCATCGTAGCACATCGAACCCGTTTTCTGTCAGCTTGAGCGCCGAAGCCCGAGTTCCGTACTCGAGGGCGTCCCTCAATCGCATCTTCACCTTGTGCAGCGCGTAGATTACAGACGCCGAGAAGGTGTCGTTCACGGAGTTCAAGTCGACGATTCGCTGCGGGATCTGAGGGCCCACCTTGAAGTAGGTGTCATCGGCCATCAGGCAGCTGGCGCCCTCCAAATAGTTGCTGTACATGACGACGGGCTGATTCGGCGGCCCACCCGGGCACTTCTCCTCGGAGTCCTCGGCCAGTGGATCGGGTGGTATGTAGGGCATCTTGCGCGGCTGTGTCTTCTCCCACTGGGCACGTGCCGCTGTCATCTCATTCCTAATTGCCCAGACCACCTCGCGACCGTTCATAAAGGCGTACGTGCGCATCATGGTCTTCCGAGCGAACACGTAGTCCGCCATGCTGGCCATCAACATGGTGGCGGGGCGCATGTTGTCCAGGTCCACGGAGAGCACGATCCGCGACTCGGGACATCGCTCGTTGAAGTCAATCACAGCCAGGACCATGCGCTGGATCTCGACGGGATTGCGGCACTCGAAGTGGATCCACGAGTACTTCTGGTAGTCGACGGCGCCCACGAACTGCTGGTAGGTGAGCTCCTGCTTGGCGCTGGAGAACTCGAGGATGGTGCGCGTGTCCGAGTTCCGCTGCACGATGATGCTCCGATGTGCCGGATGGTGGTTCGTCAGCGGGCAGTGGGATATGTCGATGCCCTGCGATTGGAAGCCGTTCAGGAGGCTCTCGAACGCACGCACCTTGCTCAGAACGCCGAGGAACTCGCACTCCAGACCCAAGCGACGCCACACGGTGCAGATGTTGGCCGCCGGACCGCCGCGCCTCCAGCTTCCCTCCTTTGTGCGCTGCACTTGGCCGGGAACGAGTGGTAGGTCCACGATGGTGACCATGTCCAGCGTGCAACTGCCCACGGCGAGAACATGCTTCTTTGGCGGCGGTGGAGGTGGAGGCGGTTCCGGAGGCAGGTGGCGCACCCGCTTCACTGTTATGAACTCCTTTACAATTTGCTTCTTCATTTCTGGAAAGTCCTAAATTTTGACTACTGCCGAATGTGACTGGGAAATGATTTAATTTCCAACGTTATCTTAAAATCAGTTTGTAACAAAAAAAGAAGCTAGCTACTGCGAGCTGAAGATTATGTAGTAATCAATTATGTCTAACAGAATACATAATTAGTTCTGATCTATGAATTTTCATTTATTTTCCTCGACTGCAGATCATGAAGAACCTGCTGGGCACCCAACTTGGTTACCATTCCATGAAGATGATGTGCAGCATCCTCAACGACCGAACTCTCTACGATGATGCGCACCTCTTGCGTGGAGCTGTGTTCCATCTGAACATGAACATCTTCGGATCGAACATCATTTTCCAGGTCTCTCCAATGACCTATGCAACGAACGTGCTGACAGCCTTCCTGCGGGTAAGCATGGCCATCCTTGATTAGATCTTTTAATCACATTTCTTTTGTTTCTTAGGCCTTGGATAGTCGACAGGTCATTGTTACCTTCGAGGTGATCCTCAGCGTACGCATGGTGATCAACAAGCGGCAGCTTTCGGAGATTATTTGGGACCGGATCTGCGACATAATGTCCTCGATTGTCAGCAACATCGAGTACTACGAGGCGGCGAACATCAACAAGGATCGGCTGCATGACCTGCAGATCAATTTCCACGAGAACATTGACTGCATCGAAAAGCTGTTGCAGCAGGATCGATCGCAGATTCTGGGCAATATGGAGCGCATCTACGATCTCATCGAACGAGTGGCGGACCGGCGGCCGGAGGCCTCCGTCCTGGCCCTGATCGAGTACCGATCCCGCCGGGTGACGGCCACTCGGCCGGAATGGCTGCAGGTACTGGCCCAGTTCGTCCGTCGCTACTACCGCATGTCCAACGTGAACGTGCGCATCAAGACGATCGAGGCACTGGTGCGGATTATGGACCAGAACCGTGCCTGCTACGAGGAGGAGATCCTCAGCAGGGTGGTGCTCACCCACCTGGCGCAGATCCACCAGGAGCCCAATGTCCAGGTGCGAGTGGCAGTGGCGCGTGCTCTGTCCAACTTTGCCACCCACTGCGACACGAAGCGGTGCATGGACCTACTGGACATCCTGGAGGCGCTCATCAATCGTCCCTTCGAGCACACGCGTCATGGATCCTCGGCTGGGGATGCCTCACTGCCGGACGTGGCCGTTGGCCTTGTCAACAATGAGACGGAGATAGCGGACATCATCGCCGCCGTCGATGGATTGGTCAAGGTGTTCGCCATCAAGTTGCACCGTCTGCCAGCGGTTCATGCGCTGAAAATATTCAATATTCTAATGGACCATCTGGAACTGCACTACGACCGACCCAAGATCTTCGAGAACACCAGCGTTGTGAGGCATAAGGTGAGTGAAAATGTTTAATCAATAACTTAGTAAAGAATATATTAATATTAATATCACTGGGCACATTCCTATTCATTCATTACTCCTTTTTGCCCGCTTAGATATTCACCTGGTTGTTGAAGGCCCGCGCCAACGCATCCTACCACATTGGCTATCCGGAGGGCAGCAGCGAGGTGGTCAAGTTCAGTCACTACTTGGGCATAGATTCCCCTCTGCTGCCGCAGGCTCACACCACCGCCATCTCCATTCGGCGCGTGTGCAAGTTGATTGTGCGGTGCCTGGAACAGGATACCGACTACCAGGTTTTCCAGCTGGTCATCAAGGAGCTGCCCAAGGTGCTGCAGAACAAGGCGCTCATCCAGGGCAACGACGTCGAGGAGCTGGCCAACACGCTCCTCAAGATCAACGTGGTCGGCAACAACAAGGTCAACAAGTTCAAGAGGCCCACGGACGAGTTCCACGCCCTCGTTTTGCCGGCCATAGCTTCCCTAGTCATTTACCACGAGAGTCTGCAGCCGCAGCAGCACTACAGCATTATCACGGCCCTGAATTCGCGGGTTCTCACTGGCATCGCCACCGTCTGCATCAACACCATGACCATTCTGATCCTAGAGATGCCGGAGGCCCTGATGCGGAAGCTCCCCGAGGTTCTGTTGCAAATGAGCAAGATGTCCGACACGAATGCTTTGGCCAATCCGGTCCTGGAGTTTTTGTCCTGTAAGTAAATTGAAAAAAATATAGAGAACTCTCCAAACAATTTTAAAACTATCCGGATTTAATAAATATTTTATTTATTTCTCTTTTTATCCCAGTGCTTATCCATCTGTCCAAGCATCTCTTTGCGAACTTCACTTCCATGCACAACATGTATGTGTTTGCCATCACGCTGCCGTATACAAAGCCGCATCGCTACGATCACTACACAGTTTCCCTGGCCCACCACGTCATCGCCGGTTGGTTCCTCAAGTGTAAGCTCGAGCTCCGCAGGAACTGTGTGAGCTACATCCGGACGGTAAGTTAAACAATCTGCCTTATACCCACTTGCATTTAAAATCCTTTCAATTCCAGTCAATTCAGTCGAATGCCAAAATGCTGTCGAGTGACATTGTGAACCTGAACTCGCTGAACGAGGACTCCTCCAACCGGAAACGGAGCACCAGTCTCACGGAGCGCGGCAGTCGGAACAATGTCAATGCCAGGAACGATCTGGAGATGCGGCCGCAGATGAACAATGGTCTGCGCAACTTCCATGCCGAATTGGCCGAGACTTGCTTTGACTTCCTGGCCCGCCACACCTATTCGCCCTGTCCTTCGATGCCCAAGCGGTAAGTAATTCTTCCACACGGAGGTGGAACTTGTTCTATTAGTAAAGTTGGTCTTCTAATAAGTGAGCATTTAAAAATGTATACTCTTGAATGTTTTACAGAGTCGTAATGTTTCCATGTTTAACAATTTACAAAGGAAATTAATTTTATTTAGGACATTATATTAGAATTAATTAGGATTATGTCCTAGTTAGACCACAAAGTATTTAGGTGAATAAAGATAAAATTGGCTTATACTTTTATGACAAATATTATAAAAAAATCATGTTAGGAGTAAAAAGTACATCAATAATTTTTTAACTATTTCTCTTCACATTTATAATTATTCGTTTCGTCTTCCAGTCTTCCCGCCGCGGAGTTCCTTCTCAAGGATGGCGTTTCGCAGACCTGGCTGGTGGGTTACAACCTTGTGACCATCACCACGTCCGGATGTCCGTCGGCACCCACACGAAGCGGTCTCTGCGAGCGATGTGCCCAGCTGGGCAAGGCGCCCAGCATCAGCCTGAACTCGAAGAGTCTCAGCGACGCAGCTCCTCCGCTTTCGCCGGAGCGGGAGAGGCGCTACACCAAGGTGAGCCTGCAGCACAGCAGCGGCAACGAGTCGGCGGGCAGCACGGAGCTCACCTCCTCCTCCTCCTCGAACTCGGCGGCCACCGCCGGACATCCGCATCGGCAGATCTCGAACAGTTCCACCGCCTCGCTGGATGCGCTCTCGCGTCGCGGCTCCAATCCCGAGGCACTTGGCAGCGGATTGGGTGAGGGTCCGCACAGCGGCAGCAACACCTCGCTGCTGGGCAACTCCCTGTCGCAGTCCTCGGTGAGCATGAGTCCCTCCTCGGGATCCGTGGTCCAGCAGGCGGTCTGCGTGCGCGCCTGCACTGGCTGGGCGGAGATCCTCATCCGTCGGCCGACGGGCAACGTCTCGTGGATAACCCGTATCCAGAACCCGATCACCAACGATTGCTTCGGCCAGGATCTGCCGTTCAACAATGTGGTTTCCCTGTTTCTGCCCACTGCCCATGGCGGAGTCTTTGGGCCGGACAACGCTATCCAGGTTCCGCCACATCCGTTGGCCGATCCCGAGCCCGAGCAGGATGCAAATTCAGCAGCGGCTCCGCAGGCCAGTGCTGTGCGCAGTCGGATGGCGGCCAAGGCGCGGGCTTTGCAGCGCCAGGAGGAGATTCACTCAGTCAGCGGAGGAAATGGCAACGGAAATGGTAATGGCAATGGCAATGGAAGTGCTTCGAGCGGCGGAGCTGCAGCTGCCATTCCCATACCACGAGTTTCGGCAGCAGGAAAACGAGGCAAGGAGGCGGCTCTCTGCGGAAGCGTTAGCGATGGCGAAGCGGACGATGACTCGCTGGCTTTCGAAGATGCCCAGAGCAGAGCCAGGAATCCCGTTCGCCGGGTCAACTCCAGTCCGGAAATGAGCTCCAGCTGGCGGCAATCGTTCCTCACCAACAAACCAACTCCGCTGTCGCAGGAGCCTGTGAAAACCGCAGCAGATGAGCCACAATCGCAGCTGACTCTGAAGAAGAAGAGTGTGCAGTACAGCACGAAGGATATGCGCGTCAGTTGTGAGGCCATTCCCGAGGAGATAGCCGGCTCCACGCCGCCCTCCCAAGCGGCTGCCCAAGCTCTGCAGCCCGAAAGCGGAACGCTGCCGCCAAAGCAACACTCGGCGGACGATGTGAGCAGTCATGTGGCCGGAGGCAGTGCTCTGCAGGCAGCTGGATCCACCTTGAAGCTAGGCAAGCCGCCGCTCTCGCCGGGACAGCCACCGCTGCTGGCCGCGGGAAGGATGACCAGCTTCGGAGGCACCTCTGTCCCGCAGCCCGGTGCGCTGGCCAAGTCGAGCAGCAGCGGCAGCAATGGCGCCAATGTCGGTGCGATCTCCTCCGACTACGACAACGGCAACAATGGCAATGGAGACATGATGCGGGGACGTTCGAAGACAATTTCGGTGGTGCGTGAAGTGAACAATGGGAATACACGAACGCCGCCGGCCAGCAGTTTCAGGAATTTCGGACCCGCCAAGCCGCCTATAAACGCCAAGTTGTGCATGAACCCGAGCTTCATGTTCCTGCAGCTCTACAGCACCGGTCAGCTGGGCATCACGGATGAACCCCTAAAGGTGGGTCCGGAAAACAACAGCGCTGTGGGCTTGATTGACCTGGTGCCACCATTCGAGACGCACAAGATCGGTGTGCTCTACGTGGGTCAAGGGCAGTGCAACAACGAGGTGGAGATCTTGCGCAACTCGCACGGCAGTGCCAGGTATGTGGAGTTCCTGCGAAACATTGGCACGCTGGTCAGCCTGAAGGAGGCCGAGCAGAACAACCTGTTCATCATGCTGGACAGGAACGGAGCCGATGGCAAGTTTGCCTACATCTGGAAGGATGACATTCTGCAGGTGAGTGCAGGGTATTTGTACGCTTTGATATTGTATATAACCAATTAATTTTGTGGCAGGTTACCTTCCATGTGGCCACGCTGATGCCCACCAATCTGCAGGATGATCCCAACTGCAACGAGAAGAAGAGCCACATTGGCAACGATTATGTAAAGATCATCTACAACGAGAGCGGCGAGGAGTACAATCTAAACACCATTTCCGTGAGTTACAACCAAATATTTCTGCTTTAATATTATTCTAATTCAGCATAAATAACTGCATTATTATTTCCAGGGCCAATTTAACTACGCCTGCGTGATCGTGGAACCACTTGAGCTGAATTCAAACCGGGTGTACGTAAAGGCGCGATCCGAGATATCGAAGTTTGTTTGCCATGCAGAACATCGGATCGTATCCGATCGCAGTGCTCCGTTGCTCGCCCGACAAATGGCACTGCACGCCAATGTGAGTATAGTTTAAGTGCTTAAATATAAACTAAACTTAATAATAATATCAATGTTTGACAGCTCGCTTCGCTAGTCTACCAAAGTGTGCAGAAAAAGCATCCGTATGCATCGAATTGGCTAGAAAGATTGCGCCAACTAAAGCGTCTGCGAGCAAAGGCAAGTACTTCTATAATAGTTCGTGGAAATATATAACTAACTTATTTTTCAACAGCTTATTGAAGGAAATGCAAGACAGCAAAAGTCCGGCAGTGCATCGAGTGGCATCGGCATTAACGCCTCGGCCATTGGTTCAGATATGGACGACCAACGAGGGGATTTCATTAAGTACACATAGACAACAACGAGAGGCTCCAAACTGAACAACCATGAGAGAGCAGAGGACCTACAGACTCATCCTGCCATGATTCCTCTTGATTTACGATTTGGATATTTGATAACGAGAAATCCCAGCAGACCAACAACAAAAGTCTCTGCCTAACCAATAACCACGAAAATAATTATAATATAATCATAATGAATTTGACAAGTTTATAAAATTTGTGAGAATACATAAGCGCTGTTCATTTCCAAACTGAATGCGTTGTTTTCCTGCTAGGCATTCAGATTTAATTACTATTACCGATTTTGCAAAGCAACTTTCTTGTGTTTAATTGTAAACAAATATTTTTCTCCGTGACCAATATAATTAATATAATTACCTGATTTTTAGTATTATTTATTTCAACGATGCACAAGTGCTTAGCATTTTTAAATATTAACATTATTGTCAGGACATTTTAATGTAATAAATTCTTTTGAAGAGACTTAAGCGAGCTATGTCATGCTAAGTTATATCCTGTAATTCACTAGTTTTACCTAAGGCTAAGTTGAGCAATGTGATCGTAGCCATATCCAGTGATTTTGTGGCTGGCAACTCGGTTGGCAAAGTCTACAGCTTCCGCCAGACTTTTTCGATGTTCGAGAGTGGCGTGAATGAATGCCCCCATGAAGCTGTCTCCCGCTCCCAGTGTGTCCACCACCTTTTCCTGCTTATAGGAAGCCATTTCACTGTAGTTCCCATGGGCATCCAAGGCTCCAGCTCCGGCACTGCCCCAAGGACATATGAATGCGGGTTTTGGTCCATTTCCGGGAATTCTCGCTGCCAGCTCCACGCAAGTTTCCCGCGCTGTCTTCCAGCCCAACTGACCGGCCAGTTCCTTGGAGAAGACCACATAATCGCAGGGCAGGCAGAGCTCCTTGCTTTGTTCGTACCTCGTTTCGAAGTCCAACGAGATAATGATGTGACTCCCGGTCCTCTCATTGTAATCCCGGATGCTCCGCATCATTTTTAGAGTGTGCGGCGTGTTGCGAGCCTCAAAGTGAACCCAATCATACTGCGAAAGATCGATCTTGCTGAAGTCCTCCCAAGTGGTCTGCGGATAGTCCTTATTGCAGTGGATAATGGTGCGCGTGCCGGAGTCCTGGGCCAGGATCACCGAAGAGAAGGGCGGGTCCCTGTCCGTCAGAGGGCAATTGTTGGTGCCGATCTCCCGCTTTCGCAGATCCTCGAGCAGCACTCGAAATGCATCCGATCTGCTCAGCATTCCAAAGAAGTCCACCTTGGAGCCGAGGACCCGGAGCACTGTGCTCACATTGGAGGCGTTTCCGCCACGTTGCCAAAAGCCATCCAAGCAACGACGGTCGGTGTCCTCCTTGGGATAACTGCCACTGATGGTCACAAAGTCAATCACCGTACAGCCCACGCAAAGTACGGATTTCACCTGGCTCATCTCAGTTGATTTGATCCTTCCTTCAAAATATTTCCATAAAATATTATATTTCCCGATTTTTAGTTCTTTGGGTTGTGATTGCACTTACACACGGCACTTAATCTAATCAAAGTTTTATCCTGATCTATTTTCACACAGTTAAGTAATTTGATTAGGTTACTAAATTTATATGTATCACATTTGAACAACTATGTTGGATCGAGGCTTATGGGTTCACCTTAGCTTGTTCGGATTTTTAGCTCAATCTAATCGAAAATTCCATTTTCACCTGCTACTTGTATTTATTGTCGATCGAGTTTTACAGCTGTTTTTGTTTTTAACTTTTCTTATCGCTTATTTAGGAGAGAGCTATAGGCAAATGAGAATCTTATGTTCATTTTGGGCTCAGCCACCGATCGCGCTCTTTGGTTCGCTCTCAAAAGCAGTGTGACCGCTGTGCGGAACGTTAATAATATTATTTGTTTAATAATAAATTACAAAAACTAAGTCAACAGAAAAAGTTTTAAATTAAAAAAAGGTCAGAAGAGATCTCGATTTTGTTGCACGTTGAATGATGGCTTGCGTTTACTGATTGATCAAATTACATTTGAATGCTATAATTAATTTATGTTTTCATTTACTTAATAGGAATTCGTTACACCGGATAACTAACTCTTCCATTTAGAAAACTATACTTTATGGTGTCCTGAAAATTCCTTCGATGTTATAAATTAAAATAAATTACCTATAATGATTTATACAAAATCCAGCGAAAGTCGATCATATCTCAAACACACAGCCGTGCAACATGACGGGGCACAAATTAAAGGATGCCAGGGCAAATGTCCTGACTAGACACATCTAGCGTTCACCAGACGCATGTGGCAGCTTCGTCAAACACAACACACAACAGTGAGCTCAGCACACAGTCAGTGGCAAAAGCTGTCACCCAGGAGGCGGGATTGATGCCCCGTGACTGTCTATCTGTCAAGCCACTGGCTACAGATTAAATAAACATTTCATTTCATTTACAAATCTGGCTAAAACAAGACTAAACTATTAAATTACTAGCCAGGTGTTGAATAGTAAAATCAGGCATTACGTGTCAAAAAATTAATCATACGCCATGGTGAACACTGCTTAAGGTTTCAGTAAAATGAAAAGCATACTCTGCTATCAGAACTTAAGGAGCGCGTTAAGTTAACGAAGACCTTCCTTCGATTGTTAAACCAAACTGAACATAAACTTGAGGTAAATTTTCAAATTTCACGCCCATTTTCCCCCTTTTTTAAAGAGCCTTCTGGGGAGGGGCAGAGCAACTTAAAGCGAACACAGCCAAAATTTTCAAATTAATGTAAATCGTGCCAGGCCTGGCCTAAATACCCACCCTCGATCCGAGGACTGAGTTGCCGCCACAAATCGATAGCTCGACATTTGGTGGCGACGCCTTTGCGGGGTAAACACCTTCTTGGGCACCATTTTGTGGCATGGAATTATGGCCGGAAATTGCCATAAAGTGTCAATCAGTGTAAACGCTCTTAATAGGTATTTATTTTTGCCATTTTAATTACCCCGCCCCGCTGGGAAACGCAGCCACTTTGCCGGCGGACAACGAACTGATGAAAAACGACTGATGACGCCTTAATTACTTTCTCGAGAAAAAGAACTCATTTCCGAGTGAATTTTTCATTGCGAATTTTCGGGCAGCTTATTAAATATTTACTGAGTAGCTATTTATCATCGATTCCGAAGAGATCAGTAGACAAGTGCTTGTGATTTATTATGCCTAATGTTGTGGTTAGTTTGCAAATGTATAACTAGATTGGCAGACTTAAAAATCTGTAAACATCTTCAGTTCAAATGACAATTGTTTTCCTGAGGAAATGCTGTTTAACTTTACGTTTCGGTTTATTTTGGTGCATACCAAAAATAACCTCATCCAAATCCATTTCAAGTACCTTTTGTTGGTTGCATAACAAGGTGAATTTTAAACGCAAAGGTTGAAAGGTAAAATGCTTTCAGGCTGGAGCTGACAGGCAGAATGAGGCTGCACTTTAATAGACAATGCCCACTGTGTGGCGATTGGGGGATTATCGAGTGCGTGCTGGTTTTAGTTAACGAATTCAACGTTTTCCATTGAATGGCAAGTGGCATTCGGGAGCACCGAAGGCCCAGAGCAACTGTTAGCACAGACCAGCTATTGGTAATCGCACTCCGGAGAATCCCGAACAGCCCCCCGAAAGAGTGAAAGTTTGCAAGTGGGTATATCCTACCGTATATAGTACCGTATATATGTGCATGTATATATCTATATATGTATATATAGGGCATACCCACACCTGCTATTAAAGTCCTTCCGTTCAGCACATGAATACTCGTTTTTGTTTGGACTGAGGCTTTGAGCCTGTTTTTGTTTACTTGTTAACTGCAGAGCTGAGCTTTTGGCCTTTGAGTGCTCAACTCCAGTTCATTTTATTCTTCTGATTTATTTGAGCATTAAAAAGTTAAAAGAAGAAGTAACTTCGAAAAGGTTCTACTTCTAAGAAAAGCTAATCACAGTTTTAAGTAAACTATTTCGATTAAAAACCTAACATGCATTTTATAAAATCCTTCTATTCTATATAAATATCTTATTAAGTGCATGTATTTATTATTTTTAAGGTAAGGAATTACCTTCTTCCTCTTTCAACTCAAAACACATGTCCTAAAGAAATCTGATGCTGAAAGGAGCTCGCGTGTTTATGGAAACCATTTTATCTGAACAGTTATGAACCATTGCACCTGATTGGATTAATGTATTCAAGAACATCAACATGCACACACAACTCATAAATAAACCCATTCGCACCGTTGGCCAAAGCCGGTCCCAATCCTTTCTCTTGGCCAATAAAAATATATGGCTCTGGATTATATTTCAGCAAGAGATGGAGCCGCAAATAAAACGTCTTCTGCTTATGACGAATGCTTTTAATTCACGCTCTGGGGAACAACAAAATTAAATTGAATTTTGTCCCAGACTTTTTCCTCACGTACCAAGGCCAGAATCATAACTCATTTCCAGAGTGTTTAGTGCAATTTAAAAGTAAACGCCAATGGCTAGCAGTTTCTCTATCGAAGAAACACATAAAAGTAAAAACGGTGAAGTCGTAAAATTTCCAAGGTGGAGCTTAAAGCGAAAAGGGCTTACTAAAAATTAAAGGAAATCTATTTAATTTACCAAAACTATTTTAATTAAAACCAGTTAACATCGATCAGCAGTGACACATATTTATGTGCCACATACTTAATTCAATAATTCAACCGTTGTCACCCACGTTTTTGGGGAGGGGTTCGCTGAAAACGCTGGATTGTTAGCATATAGGAAATTCCCAAGGTATAAATTAGAGAAATAAATTATATTTATCAATGCGACCCATAAATAATATTTATTTTCGCCTGTGACAGGGGCTGCCATCCGCACACCTTGCTGACGTCGAATTTCGTGCTCTTTTGTCAGTATCTGTAATTTGCGGCCGGGTGGGAGATACGTCTTCGTGAAAAGCCCACAAAGCATCAATCAAAAGAATTAAATACAATTATAATTGTCTGTCACCGTATCGAGATGAAAAGCCAGCCGCAAAGGATTTTCCGAGACGCGATAACTTCTCCTGGCAACCTACCCAAAATTTATTTACGAGTATAAGTATGTTCTTGTACTTAAAGTGAACCTTCTATGGAGTATATTAAATTTATTTAAAAAATAATGATGTGTAAATATGGGTTTTAGATTAAAAGGATATGGTTAAATAACATATTTTACTCATACGCAGTGTTGACAGATGTTGGTTTCGATTACTTTCTAGTTGGGAGTCTAAAACAAATAACAAGATTAAAGAATTTGAAAGGTTCACCCAAAAGCAAGTATATTTTGAGCCGCCGGTGGCATTTTACAGGTGATGACTTTCATGTTTATTATTTCTTTATGGTGTACAACTTTTAATACTGCTTTAATCCATACATTCGCTACGAATGTGTTAAACCAAGTTTAAACCCAAATAATCTCTTTAATCTTTGTAGCTTATAGTTATTTATTTATCTGCTTTTGCTAATCTTTTTGTATTGAAAACTATGCGTGGAAAGATTATAAGACTCATGACAAGATTTGTTCATTTTTACTAAAAGGCAGGAGAATAATACAAGAAAAAGGATTACAATTTATACATGTTCAAAGCGAAACAGATAAAAGGGTTAAGTGTTTAGTGAACATTTTATGTAAGACTTCCTTTCCAAATCTGAACTTACGTGGGACAATAGAAGAGTCAAAAGCAAAATGCAAATTTGAAAGGTTTTTCTCCACAAAGGTGCATTCGTCGAAAGTGACCCCCTCTTGGTAAGTATCTTCTTTTTTGGCGTTCCCCCTAAGTGAATTGAATTGAAAACAAACGGAGAATGCCTGCGCACTTAGGAAAAGAGACGACCGCAGGGCTCGAGAAAGTTCGAGCAAAATGTTTAATTTCCGGATGCACAGACGGCTGAATTTAAAGGAGGCGGCGTCGAAATGTGTGCAGGGAATATCATGCAGATGCTTCCGGCACTTGGCAACATGCAAAAGGTCGTTTGGTGGGTCGAACGAGAGTGGGTGAGGGAGGGGGAGTGGGAGGGGGTTTGGAAATGGGTGAGAACGTGGGGCGTGGACCTCCAAGAGGTCACCGTTCGGACAAAGAGAATGCCGAGTGTGTGCAGCTGAAAGTAAAGCGCAATTTCCTGGACTCTGACTTTTTTGGGTCCATTACGGACACTTAAACAAATTGAGATAATATATTATATACATATAAAAAGTGGTAACTAAAAAGAGCAATAAATATTACGTACATATAATTAAAACTCCATTTTACCTTCCATATTTTAATTAGAAAGAATGAATCATTTCATTTTCTACTGTGAGGAAACAATATTGTTGCTCATTCATTTTCTATAAAAAAAAATATATTTTTAGTCAAGTGTTTTAAAAATGTATAAATCAATTTAAAAACATAAATTTACTTTTGCTGTGCATTCAAATTGAAATTTTTATAATACTATAATAAACGTTTTCTAAGTGCCATACTAGACCAGGTGCAGCTGACATTATTTGGACCTCCATCCGTAGCAAACGACGTCCGATGCAGCTGCACTGGTCAAATCGTCGCACTTCCTGGTCCATTCAACTGGCCAAAGGGCCATTTGAATCGACGCCATCGAGGGCCATTTGGTGACAAAGTTTGAGCGGTAATTAGGCATGAACAATTGAGCCGGAGCAATGGGCAAACAATAAACACTTAATGCATTGGCACGAGTTTAATGACACTTGGCATCGGTGGCGATGACTCCTCTCGGGTAACAACAATTGGAAAATTAAACAAAGCTACTGCCACTGCCGTTGGAAGGGAAAACCCCCTCACACGTTTTCACCCAGACAAATTGGGCCAACGGAAAGTAAATAAAGGATGGAGGATGGCTGAAGGGAGACATAACTGAGAGAAAAATTTGTTAGAAAATCTTATCAATAAAATTTTACATTAAATAAAATTAACTAGTATTTTTAACACTTTATCGTTTAGGTTTTAAATTAAGTAGTTATCTAACTCACCAGTCACTTTTTATTAAATGATAAATGTTTTATTATTATAACAATACAAATTAAAGGGTGGTACCTTTTCATCTTGCTTAATTTGAAAAACCACATTTTTTTGGGAAAGTTTTATTAAAATAGAATACCAACAATTGTTTTTTTTTTGTTCAGAATATCGTGTGCAATTATTCTCAACCAGGTAAATTTAAAACGTTTTTATTTAAGTGGATAACTCGATTGCGTTTGCGAACGGCATGTTGGATCGAGCTTCGGCCACAAGGTGTCTACACAACAATTTATAATGGTCGACTGGCAGTCCACGACCACAGCCAACAAACAAACAGCCAAATAGCAAAAACGCCTGCGAAGAAAGGACGAGAGTGTTGAGAAAAAATGCGGGATAATAGCGCCAGACGGCTGCAGTGCCATTTCTCAAGCTCAAGCACCGGACCAAGTGACCAAACGACCGAACGACCCAAAGTCCCAACCACCGACAGCCCGTCAAGTCGAGGACGAGGACTCCACGACATTTGGACGCCAGGACTACAGGACACCAGGACACTGGGACACCAGTACACCAGAACGCGGTCACTGAGTCAGCCCCACTCAATTTCTTTCGCGCAGGAATGGGCCAGTCACCCACCCACCCAGTGGTTCTGGGCTCGCAAGTGGCCAGGTGAGTGACCAGTGGTTGTTTACTCTCCGCAGTCAGTTGGCAAACTCGGCTGCTCCTCGGTGAACAGACGGTATCAGATCCGAATTGACTGAAATCGATACAGCTGCAGGGCAAATTAAATTTACATTTAATTTTAAAAGACGGGTTTCTTCAATTTTCAAAAGAAAAAGATGGTTTAAGGTATTTTGTTCTGAAGAAGCAAATTAAAATGCTTTAAAGCGCTTCAATCTCTAAAATCATTATTTATAACCGAAAATGTAACTATCAAAAATATAAAAGCTTGTTAATTTAAATTTAATTTGTATTTAATTATTCAAAAATGCCTAAAAGCTTTTGGAAATCGTGTAAACCTCATTCTAATGTTTTCCTTAACAAATAATAACTTTTCTAACCGTAAGGAAAATGACATTGTTAAAAGTAACGAAAGGCAGTCGAATTGAAAAGTTTTCATGTATTTTGTGGTGGACGTTGAACCATAAATAATCCAAACGGACTTGGCCTTCGATGGGTGCAGTGGAGGAGAAGCCATCGACATCGGTGATATTTATTATTTGATGCTGCTGATATTTTAAACAAATGTTCCGTGACATAGATAAAAAACATTCCAGCAGGAGCGAGTGCATTGATATTGATGCTGTGGCCGATGTGTTTGTTGTTTTTGCTTTGGGAATTGAACTATTTTTCCTGACATCGTTATTGTCGCTGTGTACCTGCCAACTGACCTTGTTTATCCTCCTTTTTTTCCGCATGAGAAATGCAGATGGGGGAAAACCAACCAATTTGAGTTCATTTTGTATGAAGACAAAATGGATTTCTCGTCTCAGCTGCCGGACTTTAAGCACCTGTCCAAATCAGCTTGCTTTGGCATCATTGTTTCCGGATAATTATATAATCTGATTGGATTGAAAAGTGTAAAAGTTCCAAGGCATCGAAGGATCTACTACAAAGATTAACAAGCTTTGTTTTTATTTACTAGCAATAATTGACAATTGGTAATTCATTACTTATTTGCTTTATATTTTTTAGATTTGATTCAATTAATTGGATAGAAAATCAACATATCGTAAAAGCGCTGAATATTTATTTTAGTGACGCTAACATTTTTTTAATTATATATAAAAATTCTAAGAAGTTGTTAATATTGTTGACACATGACACACATTTCTTCTAATTTTCTTCACTTATTTTAGGCAAACCCACTTTTTAGGCTCTCCTGGAACACATCCCTAATAAAATCCGCTCCCTGCCCGCGGCGGAAAGTCCGCCAAGTGGCGCACTTAAAAGGGACAAATCCTCTTAAAGAATCCTCCTCGAGTCGTTTGTAGGGCAGGCGCTTAAAGTGCGCGATGCGTGGATGCGTGGCACTTACAAAGGCGGAGGAACAAGGACCCGGGGCAGGACACCGGTGGTGTCCTGGGCACGCTGCTCCCCGCTCGGGGCTCATTATTTCCCCGAGTAATATGCTAAAATGACGCGAACACAGACGTCTGCGTTTGGAGCGCGCTTGGTAAAGCGCCGGGCTGGGAAATGTTTTTAATTGAAAGGAACTCGCGAGGCGTGCCTCTGCACATGGAAAAGTGGGCGGAAAAACTTGGCTAGGGTTAACGCGGTGTCGACACTTTCCACCAGGCAGTGCGCCACGTGGATGTCCCCGGCAGACCTGTCACCGGCAAAATTGTTTTTAAAGCCCCACCTGGAACAGCTAATTTCCATTTGCTTTGCTTCAATTTCTCCACTGTTCTTCGGCAAAACTAATATTTGCTTAAAATCAGTTTGGTTTGACTTCCGCAAGTCAAGTGGATGCAAAATCTGTTAACTTAATATTCTACAATAAAAGATTAGAGTAAATAAAACTATTTTGAGTAGCAAACTCAACCTTAAGTTGATTTATTAATTTGTTATCCTTAGTTTCATTGGTATAACCGTTTACTAAAGCTGGCCAAAGTGCATTTTCCTTTTTTCTATTTCCCCTGATTATGTTGTCTGTTCCGTGGAAAGTCCATCTGAAAAGCGCTCGCATTGCAACCTAGTAAAATCCAGCGTAATTTTAAGCACGTTGCAAACACGCACAACCATAATCCCATTTACACGATTCCATTTGGCATTGCAGCGAGTGAATTCGGTTTGGCTGATGCTTGAAGTGGGCGCCTCGGAAAAGCGTGGAAAATTCAATGGGGACTCGCCGTTCCGAGTGTTTTCCGCTGGAGAGCGGGTCCACAAATTGCGTATTTTTATGACTACCATTATGAGACGTCTAAATATAACTAAAGCAGCCGCAGAATGCTGAATCTGCGTATTCGAGGCGAGCAAGCAGCCTGACTAACTGCCAGCCATAACACTTCAATCGCGGAATTACGACATTTATCATAATGCTTTCCCCCCAAAGGGGGCGGGCTGGTGAAAAGGGGGCGTGGCATGCAAATAATCCACTTGGCTGCTGCATGCATCGCCTGTTTTAAGTGTTCTCCTGGCTGCCTGCATTATATTTCTGCCAAATGCAAGGATAAGCAGGAGAAAATAAAATTATTAGTTCACTGCGGTGACTGTAAAATTGCTGGTTTATTCGGCAGAATAATCTTTCTGAAATATAACCCAAAAGAAGCTTGTTTAATTTGGAGCTAGCTAATAGCTTTCATAAACTATATCAACTTCAAAATTACTATTTCCGAATATTTATCTGCTGACTAATTACATTTAAAATTATTCTCTCCATGGTGCCCTTTAATTTGGCCAATTAATTCGTTATGCAAAATGTAAAGAACTTTTAATTAGGCAAATATCATTTGAAATGAATGAGGTCATTAATAAATTACACTGCTGCCTGAACTCATGACCCTGCGTTGTTCGTTTATCATTCATTAAGCTAAATTATTAGTTACATTTTAAGTTAAATGCCAGCCAAAATGGATTTTCCATAAAATTGTAATAATTGCTTTATCAAAAGTTCAAACAACTTTATTACGGGTAAGTGGTATATAAAAAGTCTGGCCAATTAGTTATGGCTCATTCAATGACATTACTTTCCCGATACGATGGCCCTTCATTTATCAAGTTGCATCCTTGGCTCAGTGTCCTTCTTGGTTGCAGCTGCCGCAAAACTTTTTAATGGTTAAATAATCGATGTTGTCCAGTGCAGTTGGCTCGATGTCACTATGGAAATACAGATTTTTTCCATATTTTCGGTGGGTAATTGATTTTAAATGACGACTATTTAGCTTGACAAAGTTACTTAATTCAGGATAAGGCCATATTGTCCTTTGCTATTAATCAAACAATAAAAGCCATACTTACTTACCAATCTTTAAGTGAAATAAAACCACATAAATTTGGTTGTTTACATTACAAATAATTTTGATATTTATTGTTCAAGCGTGTAAATAAAGCTTTTTTGCACTTTACTCTTTGTTTTCTGTTTCTTATTTTGGTTGTGTTCCTTTGTAAATAAATTGCAATTAGATATAGTTGCAATAACATTAAGTTCAACTTCTAAGTACCACGTACTAAGTGTAAGTATGTATGCATATACCCTTTGGATTAACCCAAGGAGAAGATTAGATATTTGTACACGAATGTATCTGGTTACAGATTAATCCAGCTTGATGCCCTCGAACTAAGTACAAACTAAGTACTCTAAAATACGATCTCAGCTCTACGCAGCCCTAAATATTGGTAAGTATTCGTACATAAAAATACATTTAACACTTTGTATTGCAGTTGTATATTGTAGTAATTCTGTAGCTCACTTGTGTGCAATCTCTTTATCTCGAAAAGTACACATCTTACAATATATGTATATAAATATAATCCCTATATATATGTTGTGTATATGTATTCGTTTGTCTCCCTATATGTAATTTAGAACTTATGTCACGCTTTCCCCTCGATAATATGTACAAATCGCTTGGCGAAAATCTGCAGATAGCACATTTTTGCCTCGCAAATGTCGTCCTTCGGGTTGAAAATCTTTTCAAAGGAAGAGCAATAGCTAGGCCTTACTTCACTATTCAATAAGTTATGGTATCTATATGTTTGTTAAAAGTGTAGGATAGTTTTGGGAAATGGTAAAAAAGAATCGGAAAGAAAGAAAATTAAGTGAAAGTTTTCTATTTTTGATAGCCAAAAAGGATAATGGGTTTCAATAAACGGATTTTAAATCTAAATTTCAGTAAACTTAGTTAAAATGTATCACCCATATGAATATAGCTAAGTGTTAAAACGTATCGCCTGGTTTTCACCTCCATAACTTTTGTGGAAGAAGACTACAGCTTACCTAATCTCATTTCTAAAGATAACATAATTATTTATACACATTTTGACCGAAATCCGGTTAATACTCTAGTTTGGTATACACATATGTACGTAACATTGAGTTAAGTTTCCTACAAAAAAAATATGGAACTCAGGTTTTATTTTGGAAATACTGAATATGAGTTTAGCCTTTTATAAATACACTAACCAAATGGGAAAATATTTCTAATTCCTCTCTAATGGATTTCCATTTCACATGCACACAATGGGCAGCCAGTAAGATATATGACTATATTTTGTGTTTATTTATCTTTATTTTGACTGTAACATTTGATTTACCTACTTAAGGAAAGTAACGACTTACATCAATAGTATGGAAACACTTTCATAAAGCTTGTGATCAATCTAAGTATGTTTCTGTATATATGGCGTTCGAACTCTGCGTATTCTAAGGTAACAAGTATACTAACTTTAGATCGGTTAAACTTTATTTGTCTTTATATCGTTATGGGAAGATTAAAATGGCGAGTGTGCGGAGCCTGGGATTCTGAATTTAAATCTCGCCATGGTGTTGAGTTATGGGTTTTGGTTAGTTATGGAATGTAGATAAGTTCAATATCAGCTTTGGACCCAAGAGTGCGGTTTTCACATAACAAGTTCACGATGTCCGGCATTCAGAATGAAATCTAACTTGAATTTTAGAAAATCACCTTTAATTTTTACTAGATTTCTGAATTAAAATTTGGTAAATTTAAAATTTCAAATTGAAATATTTTCAAGGATATGAAAGATATGCATCCAAACTAAACTCCAAACTTTTAAAAGAGAATTTTATTTTAAGAAAGCTTTATAAATTATTTTATTTTAAAAATATTAATTTCTCCTTATTAAAGTTCTACAAATTAAAGGTGATTTTCTAAACTTATTTTAAGTGGGAGTCCTCCGGATAGATGGCTACTTTTAACTGGTATTTTGTGACAGATCTATTGGTAAGTACATTCTGCGGCTTGTGGACTCTCTCCGATCCTGGACCCGATCCCCATCAGACATCCGTTTCGGTGCTCGACTGGTGGTGATTGGAGGTGGGCAGCGGTGCCTGGTGGGAGAGCTGTTTGTGCAGCGGCGGCGGTGGTGGGTGGCCATGACCTTGACCCTGACCTTGACCCTCCTCATTGGGAACCAGAAGGGGCAGCGATTTCTGCATGCAAACCACTCCCGGCGATTGGTGCTGCGATCGAGGACTGGGCGGCGTGGGCGTGGCCGGTATCTGATGCCAGTTAATACTGTTCTGGGAGGTGATGTTCCTCGTCTTTCGCAGCGGCGGATTCTTCGTCGACGTGGAGAAGGCCATTCCCCGCTGCAGTGGAACTCTGCAGGAGCATCGAGGAAGGAGGAAACGGTAGCAACGACATTACGAAGAAGGACACGCATTAGCAACGGTGGGTTAGTCGGCGAGCAGATGGCGATGCGGCAGTCGAGTTTGCGATGAGGCGCAGAGGATGTTGTTGTGGTGGTTAAATGAGAGTTCAGGATCGATCGATTTCAGGACAAGACGCAGAGCATTGTTTTTTTTTGTATTCATATGTTTTGCGAAGAAAAGGGGGAGGAGGACGACAAAGACACGGGTTACACACAAGAATCAGACATGGCACTCGGCGGGGGAGACTCTAATCTCTATGGAGACAACTCACCTCGTTGGGCTCGGCGGCGGGTAGGAAATGCCACGGTGGCTGGGCGACAACAACATGTTGCCCGAGTGGCTCGTCGTGGAGCCGGGCACGAGCAGAGTATTGTTACTACAAGTAGGACAAAGGTTATACTATACTGTAAAGAGCACGCTGGCGGATTTCGATCCGGTTACGGTTACGGTTACGATTTGCGGACTCGCAATCGCAATCGAGGGAAGCGGAAACGTAAGCGGTGGGCGGTGACAGTAAAAAGGATAAAAGTCGTGTTGCCCCTAACAAAAACGCATTGCAACAATTGCACAAATAAAGAAAAGAAACTAAGTACAAAACAATAGCTCCGGAAACCGAAGTATAAAATACCCTTGTGCCAAAATTCTTCCTTTTAAATCCTCCTAAAGGATATTAGTGGACACTCTATTTGATTAAACTTCTTCAACTTCATCTTTGCCAAAGCCAAAATTATATCTTCTCCAAAGAAGATTGAAATTGATTTATTTCCTTCAAATTGATTTAAGTTGCAACAGTGAAATATTATGTTGTACCAAATAATAAGGGAACGAAGCAATCACAATACAGATCCCTTATAATAATTACATATGAAAGTGAACATTCCTATCATAAAAAGATGGTTTCAAAAAACTTCTTCAATTTGGCAAGGGTATTTCAGAAAATAATGACTTGAACAAAAAAGACGATTATCACAAATGAAATTTTGTGTAGCAGATGATTTAGTCGTGGATTCAAGTCGTAAGTTTCACAATAAAAATATTTATTTGTTGTTTTCGCATTAATATTTAAAATATGACTACAGTACGTACTAGCTAAAAACAGTGTATAAATATGATGACTAAATGTAGAGTATGGTACAACATAAACAGAGTGAATCCGATCCCTGTTAACGCTCACAGGTGACTGAACAGGAAATCTGATCTGTGATCTTGTGATCTTATGATCTGTGATCTTGTAATCTTGTGATCTTGTGATCTGGTGATCTGGTGATCGGGAGATGAGAGTGGTTTGGTTTGGTGGTTGGTGGAGTGTGCTTGCTTGGTTTTACTTGGTTAGAAGCTGGTCATGTGGTCAGTGGCGGTGGTGCACCCTCTACGCAACTTACGTGTGGCTGTGATGCATGTTCAGGTTGGGCAGACTCTGGCCCAGATGGTTCAGCGGCTGCACGGAGAGCGTGTTGGCCGACTTCGAGCCCATCTGGCCGATGATGCCCATCTTCGTTTTGTGCAGGCCACTGATCAATTGCTGCTTGCCCTTCAGGTTCACTCCGTGGTTGCCTGTTAGAGAAATTAAATTCAAATAAATACAATTAAGTTTGTTGTCTTTTTGTCTACTAAAAACGCTGATATAGTAATTGCTTATCTTCTAAATTGTATTTTAACAAAAAATCGAACATAACGAAGTGCAGAAATATCACTCAAGTGATAAATATTTCTGTTAGATTTTTGACTTGAACTTCTGTTTATTATTCCACACAATTTTGTACTTTTCTAATTTATTAGGAAATTATTTGAAATAATATTATTATTTTTGTATACCTTTTATTATTCATTATTTTATTATTATTATTTCATTATTTTTTACTTGCTACACACCTGTCATTATGCTGGAGCCCTCGTCGCTGGACACCGAGTTTGTCTTCTCGAAGTCGACGGAAATGTTGCGCGAGTCGTTCCACTCAACGCTGCCGCTGTGGCTGTTGTTCGCACTGGAGACGTGGCTGCAGATCGATGAGTTCATCGGCGATTTCCTTACACCCAAGGAATCGGCGGTTCCGCCGCTGGTGCCACTGCCGCCAAACCGGAAGCTGTCGCCGCCGACAGTGCCACTTCCGCTTCCGCCGCCACCGCCGCCGCCTCCGCGCTTCAGTCTTTGGTAGATCGTCTTCGCTCGCCACAGGGCGTCGTACCAGTTCTTGGCCTCGGTGCACTGCAGCGTGAACGCGGTGGTGGCCACCTGGAACTCGTTGAGGTACACGCAGTTAAGCGTGTTGTTCGGCGCCAGCTGCACGATCAGCTGGTCCGTGAGGTACGGCTGCCGGATGACCTTCAGGGCTCCCAGTCCCCGCTTGGCGATCGTCTTGCAGACGAGCAGGAGGTCCGTGAGCAGAAAGCAGTGCACGTCGGACTTGCCCAGGTTGTCCTTGAACTTGTGGTCGCCCTCCATGAACAAGTGCCGCACGTGGTAGGCGGGGCAGCCTCGCATTGGGGCACACAAATCGAACATCTGGCTGTGCTGCTTGATCAGCTTGTCCAGCATCTCGTTATTGGTGTCCTAATGGGTTAAAAAAAATAAGCAAAATAGTTTAAAATAAAATAAAATGAAAAGTTAAGTTGTATTTAAAATGGGTTTATCTAATAAATGTATATTATATATATAGTTATATTATAAATAAATATCTGAATACTTCAAAATAAATTATTTTCTACAGTTTCTAGTTTTGCTTAATTTTGGCAGTTAATAGTATCATATTTATCTTTAAAATTCAAATATATTTATAAGCATTAATTTTACTATAATATTTTAAGAGTAGGTAAATATATGAAAACTGAAATAACTAGAATACATAATCTTTAATCACAAGTTTCTTCCAAGAACCCATGTGTGTAATATATTTACTATTCAGCTCAACATTTTGATTAACTTTAATTTAATGGTTACTGTTTTAGCACCACTTACTTTAATAAAGAACTTTTCCTAATGTTGTTAAAGTAATATTATCTTCAAAAGCGACCACTTACCACCACATCGTAGGACTCGATCCGCACCATCACCCCCTTGAGGCGTTCGCTCTCCTGGCGCATCGTCAAGTGGTTGTTCACGCTGCCCACGAAGTTCTCCACGCTGTGCATCATCACATCGATGGCCTCGATCTCGTCCACGTCGCTCATGTGCTTCTTGATGGCCGCCAGGAGGAGGCTGTACTTGGTCAGTCGCTGCATGGGTCGCACCACAATGTCGGCGAGTCGCAAGCGGTTGCACATCTTCTGCGACTCGCACCACGCCAAATAGGAAGTGAAAAGGGCGTTATTATGATTCAGCTCCTTGCAGTAAAACTGGCAGGTGCTCTGCTCCGCACAGTAGATCTATCAAGTGATTAAATAAATGCAAATACAAATTATAAAATGTTTATGTATATTTTCGGGAGCAAAAACCCACCTTATATGGCGCAAAAATGGAGGCAAAGTTGATGAATCCCTCCTGGAAAAAGGCGCAGCGCAGCGGTTCGTGGGTCACCACACTGTGTGCCACCATCGGATATAGCCACAATGTCCAGAACTTGATGTTCGCCTCACAAACAGCCCTCACATTAGAGAACAATCGCGCCTGGTCGACATCGATCAGCAGTCGCTCCTCCTGCACAGCTTCCAAACAGGCCAAAAATAACTACCGAAATTAATAGAATAATAAATTATGTTAAATTATAAATCAAGAACTAAAATTCCAAAGACAACCACTCACATCCGTCACAGTTTGCAGGGCGTGAATGTAGTAAACCTCGGTGGTAACCAGCTCCCAAATGGCAGTCTGAATCTTAATCTCCGACTCGCTCATCGCATCGCTCTCCACAAAGTCCCGCCAGGATTTGTGCATATCCTGCAGATATGCCAAGGAGTTAACCAGATCCGGGTGATCGAAGTTCATGCTATCCGCCCGCTGGGGAACCCCGTTCTTGGCATAACTATTCAGCAACTCGCACAACTGACTCTGCTGGGGATTCTTGATCCCGAATATGGAAGACCACCGCTGCTTGATCTGCTTTCCGGCTGCCACGCCCGACTCGCTGGTCTCCTCGGTGGAAACGGAGGGCAGAAGTCGGGGCGGAGGTTGTCGGGAGCCCTGGGAAATAAAAAGTAATAAAAAAACAAATTTTTTTAAATAAGAAAGTGTTTAAAAAATTATTTTAAAAAATGGGTATTCATCATTTAAAGGAATTAAGTTCGGTTCAAGAAATTTAGTAACATGTTTTTTTAAGTTAACGATGAGCATTAAAGCAGAATTTTCATAAAAGATTTAAGTTTTTTTTTTTTTTTTGTGCAGTAAACAATCACTAATTAAATAAATTATTACATCAACTCAGTTCAAAACAAATCTTTAGTAAGTTTGAATTTGAATCATTGTTTCTTCTTTATTTTACTTTTCTTCTAACGTAACCATCTGTTTTTGGTTAGTCATAAATTACAAAAAGAACCTTTGACCTTAAATAAACCAATTATATTTCCTCCTACATGCATGTGCTTCCTTTTATTTTATTTCAGGCAAGACTCAATTAAATACCCTGTCAACTTTTTAATTTGCCCCGAAAATATAAGACCCCAACCCGTTTGCGTTTGCGTTTGCGAGTTGAACTTACAAAGGAAGCTGCCTTTTGCAGGGGCTTGCGGTTGCTGCCTCGTTCCGTGATGCAGAGATGGTGTCCAGCCAGGCTCTCCACATCGGTCTGCTCATCCACCGAGACGGGAAGGAGCGAAGGACCTGTCGGGATTCGGGGGGGCGGAAAGCCCACTCAAAATGTCAACCGATCCGAGGAAGTTCCACCAAAGCGACTTACCTGCGTCTAAAAAACTGGGCGTGGGATTATTGTCCGTAATTGTGATTTGTGTAAAGCTGAGGTTTCGCCTACGCAAAGCGTGGCCAAGTGCATTACTAAAAAAACATGTGAATTCATTTATATAATTTCTCGTATTTAAATAGAAAGGGGTTGCGAAGGACTCACAGTAGTGTAACGCCTTTAGTTGCAGGAATAAACTCCTCGTCTGGCTGCTGTGACGAATCCAAGCAGAATGACACGGAGAAGAACTCGGAGCTGGATACCTAAATAAACGGATATTCCAAGAAATTAACCAAAGCGAATATGTTGACATTTGGGAACTTTTGGTCTGCCGCTTCCCGTTGATGCAGAACCTAATCTGCAAATTCAAGGACCAAACCGAAAAGGCGAACCTTTTAATTCAGACCTCGAAGGGGCCACAAAGAGATCCACTGACAAAAATCACTGGCGACTTTGTGCCGCAGCACTCTCTTTGATGGCCCTCCCAAGTGTGAAGATTGCATCTGCGGAAAAAGGAGAGAGGGGGCGGGATAAAATGCCCGCCCGCCCACAAAAACTACTGATAGAAAAGGCAAACATCAAGAAATATTCTCCTTATTTGTGTTGGCGGGAAATTCTCCGCTCGGTGGCAAAAGTGACAGAAAAGCGGCGGCAAGGAGAAAACCCAAGAAAAAGGAAAGGAAGAGGAAAGCGAGGAAAAGGAAGGGGAAAGCGGGAAAGATCTACAACAACTTTTGCTGATTAAGGCGACAACGGCAAATAAAGAAATTAAAAATGTATATTCTGCCGAGCATAATTCACCATCTTTTGCAGGCGCACTCGTTAATTGCAGGTTGGATTCTTTTTCTTTTTTTCTTTTTCTTTTTTTTTTTCTTTCTTTTTTTTTTTAAAGGTGACAAGACCTTCTGATTGTGCAGCCATTTGAGATCTGCTTCAATCCCAGCATAGCAGCTCTGGCTTTTGACCAGGTGATTCACTAGATTCAGCGGACTCAGTGGATTCAGTGGGTTCAGTGGATTCGGGTTGGGTCTTTTCTCCCCACTCACCTCGCTGCGCGTCAGCAGTGGCTTCTTGCGCTTCATGAACGAGGAGGATTTCTTTTTCACCGTCGCAGGATTTGTGGACGTGGGGCATCCAGCCGGGGAGGTCAGGCCACCGCAACCTGCTCCACCTCCACCGTAGGACGCGGATGTGGGTGTGCTGTAGGGACTCAAAGTCGAGGACGATGTGGCCGCCACCTCGCCGGCGAACTGAAAGTGTTTCGAGGAGGGTATCGCATGAGTGGCCGATGTGGTGCATCCGGTGGTGCTCCCACTGCTGGTCATCAATTGCTGGTTGTTGCTTTGCTGGCCAGCCTGGTTGTGCTGGCTAAGGTGGCTGTGGTGGCTGTGGTGGTTGTGGTGGCTTTGGTGGTGGTGCTGGTGGAAGGAGGCGGCACTGGAGTGACCGGTGCCGAAGCAGGACGAACTGGCCGTCATCATGGTGGTCTCATCAAAAGTGGGCGAGAGCATCAGCGAAGGCGTCCGCCGCACGATCTGCGGTGCCTGGGTGTAAATCGTGGGTGGGTGGTGCGGTGGGTGACCTTGCGTGGTGGTGGGTGGTGCCGTCGATTTACCCTTCTCAGTCTGAGATTTTTACGAATTTTTTTTGGGTTTTTTGTGGTATTTGTAAAGCGTTCAGCAAACGAATAAAAACCAAAGTTTATAAAGCCATTTAGGTATCAAAAAGAGACAAAGAGAGAGGGAGAGAGACAGAGAAAGAGAGAGAGAACAGAGGGGGAAGACAGATATTGTGAGCATTTTTTTTTTGTTAGGTGATTACTTTTACTTTACAAAAAACTATAGAGTTTAATCTACTCTAAAAATATTCCAAGAATTGCCAATTGTTAAGCAGAGGGATTCAAATTCTCAAGTATAAGTGGTGCCAAATAAAACTTCTCTAACATTTTTTTTAAACAGGATATCTATTATATTTTACCCAAGACGCATTTCTTAGATTTCATGCAATTAAAACACATTTGAAACTAATTTTCTTACTTTGTTGAAACTTTTTGAAGAAGTAAACTAAAAGTTTTCGCAGAAGACACCAAAAAAAATCTTCAGTGAAAACTAAAATAAAAGAACTTTAAAACAACTTGTGTAGGTGTGTATATAGCAATTAAGTCTATTGAAAAAACATATTAATCCCTCATTATAACTAAGGCCAGTTGAATCAATAACTCTCAAGTAAAAATCGAAAGAAAGAAAAAAGACGCAACCTTTTGTTCCTTAAAAACGCAGAAAAGTCACGTACTTTTTAAAGAACAGACAACTAAGGACACGGCGCAGCCTTCCAAATGACTAACAGATACAAATAGTTAGTGCGGAGGAAAACAACTGACTGTGCTTAAATCAATGACAGCTACACGAAGACCAGTAAAAGTGCTAAAAAATCAAAATGGACACAAATCAAAGACGGGCGAAAGCAGCAAGCAAAGTAATTTGTTATCAATTTGCGAGCGGACTTTCTCTCGAGGGGCTGAAAGACCAGGAATAACGAATTTACAGTGGGCACACACTACTGTGCACTGTACACACTACACTGGGGAAAACTACAATTTAAAATAAAGATTTTAGAATTAATTTTCCAGGAAATATATGCACTTATTTCAAAATTCAAATTACAATTTTAAATAAAGATTTAAGAATTAATTTTTCAGGAAATATATGCACTTATTTTAAAATTCAAAGATTGAAAAGTTTGTTAAATATTTTGAAAATATATATATTGTTATAGATTTTTATATTTGCATAAAAACAGTATCTTTAAGTGTAGTCTTGTACTTTTTCTTCTAAGTGAATTTATTACACTAAGTTATTATTATTCAGTATTGAATGTAATTCTTTTTTCGTTTCTTAATTTCAGATTGTAGTTTTTCCCGCAGTGCACACAGACCCGGCAAGATGGATGTGCTAGCTAAGTGGCCAGCTCCTAGCAGTTGGCCAGTGGCTCAGGCATGTGCCCTTGGCCCCCACGACCAGCACTTACCACATTGGCCTGTCGGCCCAGCGAACCCGGCGGTGGAGCTCCGGTGGCGGTGGCAAAGAGTCCCGGAGTTGCGGCGGTGCTGCCGGCGGTGGCGGTGGTGGTGGTGCTGGTGGCCATTCCCGGGGGACCGTGCTGGCAGGACACCACGCCCGAGTCGAGGCCATCCAAGTGCGTGAGACTCTTCGATTTCAGCTGCAACGGAAAACGAATTCGAAATCTGTTTGTGAGTGTCCGGGTGAAACCATTCAAGCGTTACGCAGATATTTATAATTAAATTTTATTCGCGCTATCGAGGGCTTTTCACATATTGTTTTTCCTGTGTTCAACCCGTCGGTTTTCCTGTTTTTGTTCAAATAAAAAAATGCAATTTAAATATAAGCGGATGAAGTGCAGCCTTTTATGGCGCATGAAATTACTAGGTGCATTACAAAATATTCAATAAATGTGGACAGCATAATAAAATGTTATTTTCATAAAGAACTCAAGAATGGTATTCATGTTGAAATCAAATAATAAATTCATTGCTACTTAAATAATAAATGAAAATTCAATAAGTAATTATTCAATCCTCTTGTTTGCACTAGCAAAAAATTTGCTTACCGAGTGCTTTTTTTTTTTTTTTTGGTAAGGAGAAACCCAGATAACTGATTTATTGCCAGATCATAAATCCAGATGCCGATAAGCTTGCCTTTTTTTTTGTTGTTTATAAGCTATAAAAAGCTGTGCTGGACGAACAGCGGAAATGCTTTGTATATCCCAAGATGCTGGCGGAAATGTATTGTGTTGCAGGCGACCTTCGCAGGAGGAGGAGGAGGAGAAGGACATGCCATCAAGTCGGTGCAGCCAAAGCCAAAGGACGACGGAGCCACATCGAATTACTGAATATTTCGCGCTTAATGCAGAGAATAATGTTTTGAATGCTTTTGGCGCCGGGCGACGCGAGACAATGAAAAGCTCACTGCATTTGCTGGGGAAAAATAAATTGCTTGCGGCTGGCTGGCATTCTGGGTAACTTGGTAACTCGGCAACTTGGGGATTCCACAACGCTGATGGTGGCGAGGGTGAATCGTCAACGAAAAAAAAAGAAAAGATGCATCGAGAACAAAAAGATTGCGCCGGCGGCAAAGAGCCCTAGACGTGTCCTCCTCGAAGGTTTCCTGTCCTCGCCTAATGCACTGAGATTACATCAGTCAAGTGCCCCCCGGATGGCCGAGTGAGTGTGGACGTGGCCCAAAGTCAGGGTCCGCCTCAAAGTCAATGCCTCACCCATCACCCATCAGCCTCGTCCTTTTGAAAGGACCCCCTCCCCAGCCATGTGGCTGCGATTTACTCAACTCAATGCCTCGGTTTAAATTGTGCTTGGCGGAAAACCTTGTGCTTAAATTCACTTTAACCGCATTCAAATCGAAGGGTGTAATTCTTAGTCATTTTGTGACAGACTTAAGATGGTTTACTGAAGGAAATCTAAGATTAAACCCCTTTTAAAGAAGAAAAAAAACATATATTATTTTCAGTTAAAATATTCAACAAACAATTTAAATCTCAACAATATTTAAGATTTAAATTCTGAAATGGATTTCTCGAATCATATTTTCCTGTGCTTCTAATTGCCACAGAATATATCCATTACTTCGTTATTCATTCATATTAAGCTTGTTAAAATGTTTCCAACTGAATGCATTGCCGGAACTCTAAATGGATGAGGTATCTGCCATCCGAATCCGAGATCGAGTCCAGGGTGCGGCATGCATGGCAGTCGAGCTGGGGGAATTTAAGCTCCGAGATGGATGCCATTCAGCCCCATGATGCCGCTAATCTCCCCTGGAACCAACGACCGACCAGGACCACCGACTCGCCCGGAGTGCGCCCAAGGATACGGGCAATGGTCTATTATTCCTGCTGACGACAATATTTCACATTCTGTTTTGGCAATTTCCAGCTGGCGGCCCTCACCCTGCGAACACTTTGCCAGGCATCGCCTTGCCCTTTGCTCTGGTTTATGTTTTTGTTTCCGGTTATATTGTGAATTGTTCGCCCACTGCGGCTTGGCTGGATGTGTCCAGTAATTAGAAGTGACCGGGTATATTGGACACTGAAATCTACAAAGCTAATACCAGCAAAAAATTAAATAATCTTTATAACAAAAAGAAACCTTAAATGAAGTTCCCTTTTAAACCTCCTATTGTTCCTTGTTTTATTTTATTCAAATTTATAAATATTCAAATATATTTTATCTATAAAAATAAAATCTATTTGTAATATAACATTATTCCAGAAATATGTTATTTGCCATAGGTGAAGCCAGAAAGTAAACAATTATTGCATTTCACTATAAAATTTTGATTTCTTCTTAAAAGCCAATCCAAATAAACTTATTTAAATAAAAGGATAGCTTATCGTTGATACTGTCAAACTAAAGTTTTCTGTTTTTGTTTTGACTCTTTGGCCTTTTGCTTCCCACATACAAAAAAGAAAATCAAGAGAATTACTCGTAGGTTCTCATAAAGCGAACACTTTGCTATTGGAGAAGAATGCCGGTCGAGGAAATAATAATTCTGATTGTTTATACTGCGTAGGAATAGTGCAATGCGGCATTGCACAATTCGTCCTGCTATCCTCTTACACGTCCATTGTTGCTAAGGCGATTACCTAATCACCCAAAGGCTTCAACACGTGTGTCCTGCCCACGGAATTTCCCTGTCAACATGGCTACTTACAGGACACAGCGATTAAAAAAAATAGAAGGGAACTTGGTTCACATGACACGAAACAAGGAAAATCACTTTGGGTTTTGGTCGGATAACCTGACAAGTAATGCGTACTAGGAAATTGAAGATAAGAGTAAAGGATATTTCGAAAAATTCTGGTTAAACTTCAAGTTTTAAGAGATCGTTAACAAATCATAAATACAATTTGAGGTAACTTATGGCTCGCCTTAAATTCTCTGGAATTTTTATTATGCCTGTTTGCTGCTTTCTCGTTTAGGATATTTTTTTCCTCATAATTGTTTTCGTTTACGTGTACTCAGCCTGTTTTGTGTGCCTTTGAAGAAAGCCTGCCGCCACTAATAGGATTAGATTTTGTAATAAACGTACAAATTATGATTACGGCTGAAGAGTGGCCTATTTAGATGCCCCGAGAAAGCCGAGAGATTTTTCCCTGAATGCCTGCTCGTACGAAAATATTTACCAGACTCTCTCCCTCTCACTGATGGAATGATGATAATCTGAATAGATGGAAAAGCCGCAGTTTAGCCAACAAAACAGTGCATCGCCATTGGAAATGGAGGCATGGCTTTCCCGGCATTTTCCTTGGGCTTTCATGCGGGGCTTAGAATTTCCCATTTGCGGACTGGACAAATCGTCGATGCAATTTATTGCTTGACTGCACTTGCGCTAATGCCTCTAAATATCTTCCGGCGACAATTGAATTCCTCGCACGCACACAAACATACACAAACACACACACATTTGTTTCTGTGCAACCACACTGCGTATACGTCATGTCTAATGTCTCTGTTATAATATTTATGAAATCCATGGCACTCAGAGCACTTTATTGCAGTTCCATTCAAGCATAAAATCTGTTGGCAAACTGAATTTGTGCATTTTGGTGGGATCTTCTTAAAAGCTCACTCGTAGTAGTTAAAAATAGACTAATTGAGTGGGTTTTGGTAAGTTCAATTAATTATTGCATTAGTATTATAAAATATGTATTGTATTTTGGTAAATGAAAAGTGCACTTAAAAAAGAAATATTGAAAAGCTGTAATAAAGTAAATAATAATGTAAAATGAGCAATATTATAGGCATAATATTCTTAGAAAAATTAAATCTATAACTATAAATAAATATATTGATAATATACAATATTATATAAATAAATATATAATATTACTCATACTAATAAAAAGAATAAAAATGATTTTTAAATGTTTTCTTAAAGCTTTATTAAACCATAAATAGAAATTTTACAAAATAATAATCACTAATCCAATGGCGAATGCTATGTGTTGTAAAATTGTAATTTAAAAACAAGTTGAATATTAAATAAAATAATTTATAGGTTTTGAAAGATGCTTAGAGATGCCGTCCTTATTTTCCAGCTGACGTCATGGGTGTAAAATTATTTTCGCTGCTGTTCGCGAGTAATGCTGTAATTTAATATCCCGACTTAAAAGATAAACAAGAGCACGAGCCAAGCAAAAATAAAAAAAAAAAAAAAACAAACAAAAAAACAGAGGGAAATAAAACAAAAATACGAGCGGACATAAGAGTGGAAATATGTTTATTCTCATTTCGCTAAGTAAACATTTGATAGGGGCCGCGCATAATTTGTTGACCACCAGGATGCGATGCTCCCCCTCCACCTCCACCGCCATCATCTTTTTCATTTATTCCCGGACTCACCTGCAATTTGCTGTTCGGCGGCGAGACCACCAAACAGATCTTCATCGTTGCCCGCAGGAACTCCTCGCGCTTTGTGCTTAGGTCAGGGGTCAAAGAGCCCGGCGAGGTCACCGCCGACTGTTTGTGCGGGGTCTTCTTCTTGGGCGAAGTAACGCTGGGCAGGAAGGGATTCAAGCTCCTCACCAAACTGGCCGAGTTGAACTTCCCGCTGGAGCCACCTTCGTTGCTACTTCCTCCCGATGGCGGCGATGCGGAGTTGGCACCACTCGGTGGTGCCTGCTGCGTCTGCTGGTGGTGCAGCAGCCGCGTGGGCGAGTTCAGGCTGAAGAGCTTGCGGCGATGCCTGCCCGGCGTGGAGGAGGAACTGGAGGCGGGACTGGGCGTGGGTCCAGGAGGTCCTCCTCCCCCTTCGCTGTGCGTCGACTCCTGCGATCCCGCGCGACTGTACGAAGGCGTTGGCAGCTGCGCCGATCCGTACTTGAGATTCCCCTCCAGCTGGAGGTCATCCGTGGTGGGTTCACCACCCGCCTCAACCACTCCATCTTCGCTGTAGGTGCTGTGGTAGGTCCTCGCCGTGATCTCGGGAAGAAAGGGATTGTTCGGGGAGGTCAGGGTGTATTGGTAGTAGCCACCACCACCGCCACCACTGCTGCTCGTCTCCACGGGAAGCGTGCCCTCCGTCTCCTCCGGGGTGCTCTCCTCGGGGAAGGATCCCCCTGGAAGTCATGGCCACCGCCGACGCCACTGCTGCTCGAGAGATAGGCGCCCAGCTGCTCCCACTCGCCGGAGGAGGAGTTGTGCGAGGACACGGTGAATCCCTCGTTCGAGTGGCCCTGGCAGCTCCGCGAGCTCTCGTTGCTGCTCTTGAAGAGGAAGTTCTGCAGGCGGGTCAACCGAATGGAACTGCTCTCACTGGTCAAACTGCAACTCCGACTGCTGTTTCCCGGCGCCGAAGAAGCTGTTGTTGTGGTGGCAATCACCTGCTGATCACTGCGATTGCTGCTTTGGGTTTCCAAACGACGTCTCTCCTGATTTTCGCTGGCTGATAAAGCAGCTGTTCCTGCTCCTGCTGCTCCTCCTCCTGTTTCCTTTCTATCTATTCGTGCTGCTCCTGCTCCCCCCGCCTGCGTGCTGACCTCGCCACCCATGGAGGTCCAGTAGAACACACTGTTCTGCGAGCCACTCAGCTCGCCCAGCTCACAGCTGCTCTCCAGGGAAGTGCTCGAATTGGTGGTGGCCACGCTACTCAGATGCCGATACCCGTACTCCGGCGGCGTGCACTCGTCGGGGCTGTCCAGCAGCAGGGCGGGATTGATGTGGCCACCCAAACCCACACCAACACCCACTCCCAATCCCAAACCGGGAAGATTCAAGTGACTGAGGGCGAAGGGCAGGCGATTGTTGTTGTCCGAGTGGAGACTACTCGTCGTGGGCGGTGGAGTCGCCCGACTCTTGGCCTTCAGCTCCTCCGGCGTGGGCTCCTGCCGCTTAATCTCCAGCGATCGATGGTCGCCGCGTCTAAAGGAGCGACGCAGACGCTCCGCGAACTTCGATTGCTTGGGCGCCTTCTCCTTGGGCGGCTTCTCCTTGGAGCGGCCAAGCAGATTGGTCCTCTCAGTCTTGTCCTCCTTCTCGAGGAGTTTCTCGTGCATATCCGTCGCAGGGAGAGGGGGGATGAGAAGATCCGGTTCCGGATCGCTGCTGCTGGCTGCTGGCTATCGTAATCGGTGGCGCCGCAAAGCCACCACCCATTACGGCCGCCCTTCGCCGTGATGATTGATTCCCCCGCCAATTGGTGACCCCGATGGGATATCTCAACTGGTGACCCCGATGGGATATATCTCTTACTTAGCTGGTCCGTTACTCCGTTGGTTCGTTATTCACTAATTCTTTAATTTATGAAGCGTTGATTTTCCCCAAGATCCACACTCGTTGAGTTGTGTTCCTTAATTCGACTAACACTAGGTGCATTTGAAGCGGTTTGGTTATAAGTAGTTGCTCGTATTGCTTATTCTAGTATCTTAACTTTCGTTGGTTTGCTGAAATGAGAGATGGGGATCGGAAAGGGGTTAAAATGGTTATCTTGAGTCATTTATTGGCTTGCAAAATCATATTCAGTTTGGATAACTGTTGAGGAGTGGGTGCTTCAAAAAGAATTCAGTCTGAAAACATAAACAAACAGTTAACAAATATTTGAGGTTCTAAAATTATATTTAACATTTAGTATATGCAAAACCGAAATAGTAATCCTGTATAAAATATTTGTGAAAATAAATCTATATTTTTGTGAAAATAAATATATGTTTCTTTAAAAAAAAAAAAAAATGATTTATATACGCATCTCTTTCAATTCTTTAACTCTTTAACTTAAACTCATACACTTTCCTTCACCATTATTCAATAATATATATGTTATGAACGCACCAATTTTTCCACTACATGAAAAACGTAAAAAACTAACCTTCCTCAAAGGCAACCAACAACAAGTGATGCAAATAAGCACTTTCGGAGCAAATCAATTTAGGATAATCCATTCAGCCATAATCCTCGAACGTTATTGCTATTTTTCGCCCTTCGATTTGTGTATGCAACCTTTAAAGTTTTTCGGTTGTTGTTATGGAAATTGGGGAAACGTGTTAGCATTTCAAATGAGAGACGACAACGAGTCGAGACGAGACGAGACGAATCGAGAGGAGAACGATGAAAACGACGTCGACCAGCTTGTCCTCGGGGGTTTTCACATAATTTTCCGAATCCGGGATGCGATGCAAAGCGATTGGCAATCGATGGAAAATCCAAAAAGTTTAATCAATGTGCATATTTTGCTGTCAACCGATTGGCAAAACTGAATTAATCAGGCAGAATCGGAAACCAATTTGGCGAGTCAAAGCTCAAGTTCGTTGCAGTTTCATGGGAATATTTAATTAAAGTCCTAGTAATTTGTCTATCTAACGAGAGATTTTGCAAAAATACAGCAACAGCAACAGAGAAACACAATTTTACATTCATGACATTAAATATTTACAGATCCAGTCCACCGATTAGGTTTGTTTTTCCCTTGCATTTTAGCCTATTTATTGATATTTCTGCTCAGTCACGTTCTGTACTCTCGCCATAATCGTACATTTATATTCGCAACATAACTTTAAGATCTTCTTCTAGGGAAAGGACCAACGATAAACAATTCGTGTGCCTATTTTCCTGATTTTCCTTGAATTTTTCCCCTCCATTTTATTTATTTTTTTTTTTGCTAAAAGGGTGGGCAAGCAAACTTGGCCATAAAACGGGCAAGAAAACTTTATTGTTATTAATATTATTTGCACATAAATATAACAGTAAATAAACATAGAGAGTGCGTATGTGAAGGGGGTGGTGGGAGGATGAAGGGAGGGGGGTTGGGGGAAGTGAGTTCGAGAGTTGACAGCCAGCTTGCCCCTGGCTGTTGCAAATAAATCATTGCACACGCCTGGACGCCCCTCAAACACGCAACGTGCCCCCAACCGAAATCCAATGGCCCTCCACTCCAAGTTGGCTAAACCGAACCAAAGCAAAAGCAACGAACCATTCGCCGCAGTTTGCTTGTGTTTTGGCCAAAATAATGTATAATTAAGCCGGGCAGGGAAAGGGAGTTCAGTGAGCCAACCAACCAGCCGGGTCTTTAATAAAGCCAACCATCCTTCATGCCACACACACATTGGGGGTGCTGACAGCTCAAGGACGAGGCGAGGATGGGAGTTGTTTCTTTTTTTTCTATATTTCGGTGGTGTTGTGCCTCCTGAACTGTGCTGATTTTCACCCCCTTTCAAAGGGGGAGGGGAGGGGACCTTTCAAGAGGGGGGTCACCTAGCAAGTTATTTTCAATTAAGTGTTCTTAACACGTTGCCTAATCGACAGACATGTTCCCCCGAGTCCTGGGGACACCGCCTTCTAATCACATTAGTGCAAAACCAAAGGAGCGCACAAAAGGTCGAGCAAAAACAGTGACACGATGTGATTTCATCTCCCCAAAGGAAGGAGATTGGTTCCCGGGAAATCCCCTCTGGGAATCAAGTACAATGGCCCGATTCCTAATCTCTGCCTTAACCTTTAATTCGGAAAAGGAACCTTTACGGCTTTCAACTGATAAGAGCATTTTTAACAAATTAAAAACACAAGCGAGGTATCTAATTCATTCCTGTTTTAGTTAACCAAAAAACAACTTTCTAGAAAGTTTATGAATTTATTTCTCCACCCCGGAAACAAATTTCAGCTTTAATAGGAAAAACAGGAAAAACTAAAAGTGTACTGTTTAAAACGAAGGCTGAATTTAAATATTCATTACCCCTTTTTTAAGTGGTCTACGCTTACACCTTTGGGTGATAACTTTCAGAATTTGGTAATAGAAAACGTATAAACGCGGCCAAGGACTCACCCTGCATAATTGCCGCCACCTCCTAAACCAATTTAAATATTCCGTGAGGGCCACGAATCCCGGGAGCGGAGTGGGATTCTCGAAAACAACAACGTTGTATCACGGCAGGCAAAATCGCAGAACGTTTAAAGATAAGCGAGCATGTTGTTCGCCTCTCATTAAATTAAATTAAATGTGTGTCTTGTGATAAAATTTTATATTCAGGACCTCATACTCCAGAGAAGGCGTTCTTGGTTGGCTGGTGGGTTGGTTGTTGGGTTGTTGGTGGGTGTAAAGCAGAAAGGGGGTTTCGAGTTCAAGGCGCTTTTCAATTTCAGTGCAGCAACAAAATCCGTCCGACACAGCGGCAAAGAAAACAACAACTAGCCGCGAAGCGCCGTCATTTCCGCCGCCTGTCAGAGCAGCAACAATTTAATTTTTATTGTTATGATGTCATCAGCATAAGAACCGGGCCCGTGCCATTTGCAGCCCGCCCTCCCAGACATCTGAAACCCGAACCCAAAACTCAAACCCAAGGAACTCAGAACTCAGAACTCAGAACCCAGAGAAACGGGAACCCAGACCCCAGAAGTCCACATCCAAAGCAAGTTTCATTCAGGCTTCGCTGACGCACTCGGAAGACGTGAACCACATACAAATTGGCAGTGTGATGGAGTCCAGGCAGCCCGCTAAAAAAATGACACAACCACTATTTCAGGACCCCGGAGGCGTCTTCTTTCGGGTCCAAGCGCGATTTATGCGCGAATTGCCATTTACCCCGGCGGGATTTACTCGAATCGCTGACCAGTCTCGCCGATGAAGTGCCAGTCGCGCCTTGCCAACACCTCATGTACAGTCCTACTTCTATAAATTATAACACTGTTTTATTTTAGAAAATTATGATATGATATTGATACATGATGATATCTTTTGAATATCCAATTTCATAAAACAATTTGCGAAAACCGGTTAAGAATGCTTGAAGCTCAATATCAAAAGTATATTCCCTTTTAGATTTTCTTTTTAAGCTTATATGTACTTTTAAACTTTTTAATTGCACTACTCTTGCTTTAGAAACATTTAATTTATTAAATCAAAATATACAAAAATATATATATATTTATTTTCCCATAAGCAAGAGCTATTTGGAAGTGGGTTTTGGGTAAAATCAGTAAATATATTTTTTAATGTTTACTTGATTAAGAATATTGAGTTAATATGATGTGAACCGGAGTACTATTTTTGACTTGATTTTGAGTGATTTTAACCTTAGGTTATTAGTAATAAAATAAAATATATTTTTAAGTATTTTTTTATAGATATGCCCCTGTATAATTAAACGAATTTATTCGGAACAGTGTTACAGAGGACAGACTGTATATAGACAAGCGAAGTGATGGCTCGGGCTGAGTTAGAATTATGCCCCTGGCCTGAGCACATTATTACGATGCCAGCTTTTATGTGGCTGTGGTAATGTAACATTTTGCTGAGCAATCAAAAGGCGCAGCAAAAGTTGCCAAGTTCGAGGGGGAATTTGCGATTGTTGAGGAGGAGAAGGAGCATTGGGAGGAGGAACCGCATCCGAATACCGAGCCCACCTGGCCAACTTGCAGCCGGAGTTTGATCGATAAACCAAACCGAAGCAAACCGTAGAGGAGTAAACCCAACCAGAGCGAATCGAGGTCCCTCGCAAATTGAGCCAGCTGAATATCCAGCAGAGCCCCGTGTCAGAAGAGGCAAAGTTTAATCTTTGATGCCGGCGACACATTCGGCCCAAATTGATTTTTAAAGTTATCAGAGGGCCGCACAGCCAGGCTGTGATTTATGCAAAGAGGTTGGCTGGTTGGCTCGGTTGGCTCGGTTGGTAGGTTGGCTGGTTGCTAACTTTTCCTGGGGTTTTGTCTTAACAAAGCGGGTCAGAGTGCAGAGTGCAAAACCGAAACAAAAACACAACACAAAGCCCCGCTAAAGTGAAACAATGCCCATCCATCATTCCGCTATCATTGGGCTTCTGAATTTATAAACAGGGAAAGAAATAGAAAAGAATATCTAAATATTTTGTAACATTTCTTTTAACTACTGAATAATATTAAATATGATTTACAAGTTTCTAAATAATTTTGAATTGGCTTAAAAAGTGTGTAATAAAGTGGGGAATAGTTTTTTGTAATTGTAATCAAGTTTAATTAGTTTATGATGTCCTATTTTGAACTTGTAGTCTGTGTTGACTTTTAAAAACAAAAAGGCTCAGTAGTCTGGTAAGATAAAATACTTAATTTAAAAAATAGAAATCTCGTTAATTTGATTGAAATGAAAAAATTTTCCTCAGTGCACCCACTCCTCGATGATTGTCACCAGCTCTTACTCACCTTGGTTGGTTCATTAATGGGACCTCTTCGATTCCAATTCCGATTCCGATTCCGATTTCTGTTTCTTCTTTTTTCGAGTCCGCTTCCTTTTGTTGAGTCTTTGTTGCTGCTGCCTCTTCTGCCCCCCGCCGCACATTTATTTTAGCAATTTGTTTGCCTCTCGGTTGGTTTGTGTTTTATTCTTTGTTTTTTTTTCTGTTGTTTGTTTGTTTGTCGACTGGTTGTTGTTGGTTTGCTCAGCCCACACACCTAAACACTCGCGAAAAGTACTTGAGCACAGTATCTGTATCTGCGTGCGTACTCGTATCTGTAACTGTACCTGTATCTGTATTTGTATCTGTATCTGTATCTGTACCTGTAGAGGAGGACCCCGCACTCCTGCCCAGTTCCGTAACTGAGAAGGATCCTGCCAGGAGGAGGAGGAGGTGGCGAAGCCACGTGCTCGGGTCGAGTACGTAAATGAGTTTATTGCCGGCAATAAGCGAACCTAATGCGCCTGCACGAGAGGCATCGATGCAATATATCATCTGGATTCGAGTCGTTACCTTCAAAGAGACAGAATATAGAGGCAAGAGGTTAGTGATGAGTCGTTACTTCTATATATAGCCTAAAAGGTTTGCACTACTCCTCGCATTTCATCATCGCCAGGAAGGCAAACAAAAAAAGCCACAATCGAACTTTTCAGCTCAAACAAACAACTTCGCCACACAAAAGTGGTTGGAGTTGGGGCTAATAAATGGTTAAGGGGAGGTTCTTTTCTTTTTTTTCGAAAATTAAGCAAACTTTGAGAATTATTTGCGGAAAAATGAAAAGACATACGAATTTATGCTTTTGAACTTTTGATTCGTTGTTTATTAACGATTAAAAAAAAATTTAGTATTCAGGAAATTCAAAATGGCGGCTTCAAAATGGCGGATCTCGTAGACCTCTATTTTTCTGCTTTGTCGAGTGTCGGGCCGCTGGTAGTGAACCGAAATTAAAAATGTAAATTATTTATTAAAATTGATGGAGTTTCCTATGCCTTATACCTAACTAGAATCAATTTTGGTAAAAATAAACCAATTTTATGGACATTTAAAAAAAATGAACTTTTTTTTTTACTTCGATCCCGTTTAAAAATTATAAATAAACAATTTTTTATGCCAATTTTAGGTATAAGGCATACAAAAAAGTATATACTTTCAAAAATTTTTTGAATGAAGGAAATCGGATCAATAGAACGACTCCTGTGCGCGACAAGAGGTTTGAAAACATGGTTCCGAGAAAAACGCGTTTAAAGTTTTTAGAGCGTACCACAGCGCATGTGACATGGGTATGTTTGACACGCTCTAGCTCAAGAAATACGCGTCGTATCGAAATATCCTTTGGCACGTATATTCTAAACATATGTAACTTTCATTTTATTAAAAAAAAAAAAAAATCAATTTTTTTCAAAAAAAAAGAAAAGAACCTCCCCTTAAGCCGAGTTTTTAAATTGCTGCTGTTACTGCATTTTTAAAGTTCTAAAAGTTAATTTTAGAAATATTTGATTGCCGACGCGGGCGATAAATTTTTAATTGGGGTTTCGGAGTTAACTCAACCAAGTTGACCCATTTTTAAAACATCAGTCATTCAAACAAATGTGAACCCTTTTTTGTAAATGTCAATTAGAGTCTAATTTATTTTTAGTATTTAGTTATAAAATGATTCTTAAATTTTTAATATTTGTTTATTGCTGTTACATAAAAATAGAATACCTAAGTTATTAATAAAACGAAATGAGTGCAGATTTCCTAAATATTTCAATGGAGAAACCTTTGAAACAATTCTCTTAAAAATACAAAGGTAAAATCGAGTTATAGCAAATGAAAAGTTATCTGTCGAGCAAGTCATCAGGCTGATTTCCGCACCCCCATATCCTGTTCCTCCGAGTAAATATAAAGTCAAACAAGAGTAAACACGAAAGTACGGAGAACCCACAACACAATTACGGGTTACTTGCTTGGCGTTTGGCGTGTTTCCCGTAGTCAGATTACTCATTTCACGGACAAGGTACAAGTCGCAACGGCAATTCAAGACAGCTGCTGCCGCCATTTAAAGGAGCTAGGATCCAGGATAATAAAGCTTTTAAATTCAGCAGACAAAAGGTACAAAAAAAGAACACGAATTAAATGTGGAAAACAAGAATGTTTCTGCACTGCAGAAGAGATATTATATTTACCCAGCATATTTGGTAATTGAAAACAAATATATATTTCAGCATATTTGGTGTTGGCAAAATTTATAATCATACAAATTTATTACAATATTAGCTGTCGGCAAATTTATCGTTAACAGCGTTTAAAGCCTCGTCTTTAGCAATGTAATAAAAACCCCATTCCATTCAATTTGCTCATTTATTGCCTACACATTTGCATACCAAACGCGTAAATTAGCATACTTAAATATTTTCACAATGATTCCTGGTAATCGAGTAATTTCAATGGCGTTCGTTGTTGTAATTTAAGTCCATATGCTTATTGTAATTACGTTTGCAGTACATTTCCTTGGCTAATTCTGCAGATTATTTGGCAAGTGTTTCTAACCTTTTTGTCTGCTTAAGGGGTTACATGGGTTTCACGGTTTCAAAAAATCGATTTTTTTTTTTTTGTCTTTTTAAATTCTATAACATTTCTAGAATATTGTCCTAAATTTTCAAGTTGATCCGAGTAATAGTCTCGGAGATACAGCCTTGAGAAGGTGGACGCTTGAGACCACTTTTATTGTCTCTTAAAACTTTAAACGCGTTTTTCTCAAAACTATGTTTTCAAAGTCGGTTGTCAAAATTTCTCGAAAACTACTCAACCGATCTTAATGAAATTTTACACAAGTATTCGAGATATCATTTACAAGGTATTGAACGAAGGATTTTTTTTTTTTCAATTACAACTATTTAAAAAAAAAAAAATGTCGAGAAATTTTCATCGAAATTTTCATTTTTTTGTAAAAACGTCTCCCAAAAACCCAATTTTCATTTTTTTTTTTTCCTTCGTCCAATACCTAGTTTATTGTCTATACTGAAACACGTTTTTTTTATTTTTACTTTGGATGATCCTGAAAGAAGTTCTGCTGACAACGCGGAGGCACCTTTTTTCCGAGGGACTGCCGGAAATGGCGTCGTAATGGCCGACATTTTGATATTTTTTTTTGAAAATTTCACAAAATCTTTATTAAATATGTCTCTTTTAAATAATAAAAAGTTTCATTGAAATATTTCATTTTTTATATGCAAAAAAATGTTTGAAAAAAGGCCGTTTTTTACCCGAGGAAACCCATGTAACCCCTTAATTGCTTAATTTTCTTCCATTAGTCTGGCATAACAAACACGAAATTTTCAATTCATGTGTAATAATTCCCTCAAGAGGATTTACTCCTGTTTACTTGTACAAATTACTGGAAATCCTTGCGAAGGATGTTGTGCGAATGAGCAAGGTGTTGGAGTGTAGTGTGCGCTAGTTGAAAGGGCAAAACCCAAACCCATTTTCCCCATTTTTCCATCCCATGTGGCCCGCCCAGAATGTTATGCAAAACAAAAATTCAATTTCAATTCAATTAATCACGCTTGATTACCACCAATAATGGCCAACGCCAGCGGGCGGGGCCAACATCTAACAGCATCAGCCAACAGACTACAGACAACAGCCAACAGACAACAGCCAACAGACAGCAGACATTGGCCAACAAGACGGACTGCCAGATGGCGGGATTCTCTGACAGGAGAGACTAGCATAGAGAACTCGAGTCCTCGAGTCCTTGAGTCCTCGATTCCCCAGTGCAATCCACAGCCACTCGCCTTTTGTCCTTGGCTTGCAACTGCCTCCCAAGCCGCTTTTTGTTTACCACTTTGCACATTCTGCTGTCAAATTTGTTGATTTATAGTTCCCGATGTGCCTCGAACAAAGGCTGAGGCGGCGGGGGCGTGGCAGGTCGGGGGGCGTCTGATGACAGGCGGGCGCCAGCCAAAAGGCTCAGCGAATGCCAAAAAAAAAAAAACAAAATGGAATCAGCCAAATGCGCTGTAGTTGAGTGCTGCGACCTTTGGATACCGGGTTCAGAAATCGTTAGACTAGACAAAAATCAATAACAAGATGGAAAACTGACACCCTTGTAATTAATAGAAGTTCTAAAAAGATTTTTTCTAATTTTGTAAACAAAAATCATTACCAAGAATAGGTATAAATTGTATTATAAATCAAATTTTTAAAGGATAAGTAATTTAGTTATATTACTCAATTGAAAACTTTTTAAAATAATCCTGACAATTTTTAATATTCAGGTTATATAAAAACCTTTTGTTTTACTGCACTTTCTGTTGCTGTAGAAAAAATATAATTTTTACTAAAAAATTCCTCCTGTATCCTGTAGCCAACACCCTCGAAGGCTGTATACCCCTGTGTTTTCCAAACAGCTGGTACAAAAAACGGGAAAAACCGAAACTTGGAAAGCAAAAACCAAGCCTGGCGATAAAGTCAAACTACAAAGAACACCGAGGAAAAAAGCCGGCCAACAATTTCAATGACAATGCGGCAGTTTGTTGCCAGTTTGCCAGCCAGTTTGCCACTTGCCTTTTGTTGTGGTGCAGTTTTCCGGACCATTTTTTTTTTTTTTTTTTTTTTTTGGGTAGAGGGTGGGAGGTACGAGCCCATTCGTCGAGTGAGAATTGTTTTTGGCAGAATGCGATTAGGTACCTGGAATAGTTTGCGGTCTTTTTGGATGCCAAAAAAAGAAAGCCAATGCCAGTGGCGTCTGTCTGCTGTCGATAAATCCAGTCGAGTGCACACTTCGACGGAAGTGTGGACCCAAAGAGCAAAGATTGGATCCACCCGCAGGCAGGCATACAAATGTCCGGGTGTCCAGTTTTCTGAGGACCCCTACCAATACCCAAACCCGTAGACGTGTCCGCTTTTCCGGAGATGGAGATCCACCGACGACCGCAAACAAACGGCGCTCATTTGCAGGCAGCTCGCATCGACTTCTGGACGGGATGATGATGCTCGGATGTCGGGGACGAAGTGCAGATGTGTTTGATGGGGCCGGAGATAATCGTTTGGCAATTGAATGAGTCCCACATGTCGGATTTAGGCCGAGTGGAAATTTTTTGGCAGAGGCCCTTACCTCCGGCAACCCAGCAAACATCGTTTCAAAAGTTCAATGGGTCAAGCAGTGACAGTTGAGAAAGCTAATAATACAATAAACAACTCCTCTAAGTATATCCAGAGTTATAACAAAAAGTTGATCGCTTTATTAAACTAAATTAAATATATCTAAAAAAAAGTAAGTACTGCTTAAATAATTATAAATTGTTTTTCTCTATATTTTTACTCTTAAAATAATTTTTAATTATTTTTCTTTTTAAATTCTTTCTAAAAATGTATGGTATAATTACTCTACATTTACTACAGAGTAGCAAGAATTTAAAATATATGCAGATAAAGGCAATTAATAATTCCTTTCCTATTCCCCCATAAACATATCCCGCTGCTCTGAATTTCCCATGAATTTATGTTTTACATTTAAGACAATTTAT